GCAAGTAAACAAGAAAAATTCTGCGATAAAACCACCAACCGGCTGATTGAACTTAGTGGTTTTGCGGCTTAGCTACAAGTGCTTTTACTCGCTTTTGGAATACTCGTATTTCAAACCAGCTTTGCATTCGACACGACATACGACTTGAGGAACCACAATTGAATTATAAAGTTTATCGCATGCAATTCGCTCAAAAAAGCAGCACGAATGCATTTTTAACGGGCATCGCTTCACCCACTTTGTGCCGAATTCCTTTGTGCATTTCTAAGCGAAAAAGCAAAACGAAGCTAAAACATTTGTGCCAGCATTGCGAAGTGGTTTTCGCTTTGGCAAAATGAATCCCAGCTGTTCTGGTGAAAGGATGCGTTGAAAGGAGGATGGCCAGGAGCACATAAAAAATAAAATCGAAATACTTCTGCTCGCTCCGCGAAACATGGTCTTAAATTAATGGCTTTAAGAATGTACTTCAGTGATTAGCCATCGCTATCGTTTTATTGCGCATACGCCACGTGTGCCGTTTCAGTGCTTAGGGAAGCATTCAACCCCCAAGATGTATTCGAGCACAAGCTCTTTAAGTTGGCGAGTATTCCTGCAGACTGTAAAGACAACTGGCTGAAATAAAATCGGATAATGCCGAGATGGGACAAAATGACTCGAGGTCAGCGCTCGACTTCCATTCTCATTCTCATACTCATTTGAAGAGCCTTAGAGCAATTGTTGCCGTCTGAGACGGATTTTGGGCGTGCTTATTTGTCCAATAGCCTTGGCTCGTTTGTCTTAAAGACAGCAGTTGGCAGGAGACACAAAAGCCGCAGACTAACCCTTAGTCAACATTAGCATTCTGCGCTCAGACTACGTTATTCAATTATGCAAAAGGCAGCAACAATGCGTGCGGCCACATGAAAATTATGTTTTTAATTTTTCAAACCACAAGGACTTTGGCATCGGAAAGGTGGCAGTGACTAAAACAACATTATGGGTTCCAAACAGAATTCACCGACCACTGCGTTTCAAACAACATTAAAAAGTCCGAGTCCTGCTGCCAATGCTAAAACACGCAACAAAGAAGAGGCAAAAAATACTGAGGGTCGTACAGTGGGGAAAATCGATTAAATATTTCGGTAGCATAAACTATATTAAAATCCACATAGAAAATCCATACTCTTAATCCACTTTCAACTGAAGTTTACAAAGGATTGCAAGCAAACTACTTTGTTCGCAGGCAAATTTAATGGAAATACTAAAGCCATTAAGGCCGGGCAGAATGGTTTTCCCTGCACCTGCCCCACTGTGTCTGCCGGAGTCTGCTGGCCAGCAGACCCGCATCAGCTGGCTAGTAAGTGCCCAGGACATTGGCCAGAACGTCGATGTAGAGGCAACCAGAAGTGGGCATCTAGTCCGGGGCAGTGGCACATAATCAGGAGGGTTTTGTGTGTGTGCACCACGGATCCGGGGAACTAACGGCGGGCAACGCACTAAATCGGATTAGCCCGGAATTATCCTTGTTGGCATTTATTTTGGCTTTGCCGCACACAGACCCACATACAAGAGTTGGGATCCGCTGGCAGTGGCAACTTGTTTGCTGGCCACTCAACTCGATTCCGCATTTTGAAGCCCCCGTACCGAAAACACACACATCAAAAGAAAACACGCAAACAAACCAAAAAACAAACGAGTGAAAATAAAAATAATGTCAACTTCCGTTCTGGTTAGCCAACTTTTGACGCCATCCTCTCCTGTTGTTTTAACTTTAACTTTTCGCTGCTGTTTTTCTTGATTTCTGTTTACTTTGAATTGCAAATTTTTGTGTTTGGGCTCTTTAACTTTATATTCTCGCTTCATTGCGGAGCATAATGAGCCGCCAGTTGCCACGGCATGCGTGCCCCATTGCCATTTAGCAGGCAACGAAATAAAATAATTCAAAACAAAATACAAACAAGATAGAATGCTATAGTCGAGTTCCCCGACTCCGTTCCCGTAACTCAGCTAGTGGAAGTGCGAAAGAGAAATTTCATAATTTTTCAAAAATGTGGGCGGACTCTGCTATTGATCCTGATTAAGAATATATATACTTTATATGGTCGGAAAAGCTACTACTGCCTGTAACATACTTTTCAATGAATCTAGTATACCCTTTCACTCTAAGAGTAACGGGCATAATTACTTAACAATATACAAAAGAATTTAATTTTTATAGAAATTAGTGAAATGTAGGGATTACCATAAACTGAAGGAAAAGCCCGAAAACTTATTTTAAAAAAGCTATTTCCACTTTCACCTCCTTGGTCACCATTCCCACTCTTTCACTTTGCACCTGATGGAGTGCGTGCTCAGCCAAGAGGCCCATGCCACACGGGCGCCATGTAAATCTATTAACACCTCACGTCTGGCTGAAGGATAAGCCCGCTTGGGCCGCACTTCGAGTTAAGAGGAGAGGGGAGGGAGCGGGAAAACAGGACGAAAACCACAGCCAATGCCATCGAGCAAGGTGTGCCTGTATGCGAGCAGTGCGTATGTGTGAGAGTGCGGTAAATGAAGCATTTTGGCCAAAACGGCACGTACTCGCAAAAGGCTTTGGTCCTTCCCTCTTCCCATGGATTTCACGTCAAAAGGCAATCGCTGCCGTAACTTTCCAACTAATTTGCATAGAGTTCTCGACGCCGAACCTACGTGACCATGCAATTTGCATTGGGCCCGTGTCGTGGCTGCAAGTTGTGGGCCAAGTTCGTACCGCTAACCCAAAGATAAGCCGGGGTTCTCCCTGCCAAACAGTGCGTTTAAAATAAACACGATGACAGGGTCCTCGTGATGCTGCCATTCTGCCACTTGGCAACGGGCTAAGATTGATTAAGACGCATCTATTGTCGAATACGTTGGCTTGTCCTCAATGCCTTGGCACGTAGAATGGCACCTCCTCAAGTGATTTAAGCCAAACCGTTTTATACACCTGGTTATGGGGTAAAAGAATAAGGATATGCGCACTTCTCAATATCCTTCACTAAACAAAAAATTAAATATTGAAATAATAACAAATAAAATATCCATGCATAATCATTTGAAACTAAATAACTGTTAGAACTATAATAAATTATTAATTTGTATAATCTTTAATTAAAAGAGTATATCAGCATTCTAGATGCCCCTCGTGAACCGACTTTTCTTTTACAAGGTAGCAACCCTTCGAGGATTCAGGGGGCAGGCATCTTCCATCTTTATGTGCAGCTCCATACATATTTATCGTAGCTCGGGTGTTCGTGATAAAATCACATCTATAAACATTAATCGCTCTTTTATGAAGTGTAATAAATTCAGAGTTACACGTTGGCCGGCAACTTAACGCTCTTGGCCGCTCTTTCAAGGCTTAAAGCCTTTAGGGAAGGCAAATAAAAGCAAAACTTGACTTTAGTTTCTCTAAAAATAGCTTTATTCATATTTGATTGGTACCCAGTTTGGTAATTAGTTTCGGTTTTCGGTATTAGTTTCTTGTTGCTAGTGTGTGAGTTTTTGAGTTACTTCTCAGTGGCATTTGGTTTCGAACAACATGAACAAACATTTAGTAAATACATTCAGATAATTCTTATATGAATATCATATAACAATCACGGCTTCTTGATGGAATACCTATTAAACGATCTAAGCAATATACATTCATATACAGGTAAATAATTATCAATACTATAAACATTCTATTTAAGAACTATCTTCGCCAAAGACGTGTAAATTTGTTTGGTGTTTGATTTATGCCTAGAATCGAATAAGTAAATAAAATTAGTAAATAATCCGTATTGTAATTCGTTAGTAATGAGAGATACATCTGTTATATATTATTCCGTTCAATTACATATTTATTCTATTGGGTTTCAAGTATGTACAAATATTTGCCAGCTACTTGAACCATTGTGTTTCGGGCATTCGAAGTTCGCACAGAGTTTTACATTTTCATTGTCATTTCAGCATTTTAACAATTGTTGAGTGCCCAAGCATAGTTGATCAGCACTTACTTGTTGGCAAAACAAATTGATTTACATTGTTCAACAAATTCGGCTCACTCCCTGCCATTTAAATTGCTCAACAAATAATGTTCAATTAATTGCCATTAAATATGCGGCACGTAGTAATAATAAATGGCCAATGGTATGTGCACTCCATTGAAAAGTTGTTTTTGCCCTTTAAAACAATCAACCTATAAATTTTCCATATGCTGAGTTGCGGCTGCTTAAAAACATATTCAATTTGTAAAATTCAGAACTGTGCAATTTTAATGCGATTTCGATGGAAACAAAAACACAATGAGCTCATAATTATTCATTTTGGCCGCGAATAAAAATTTATTTGCCAACCATCACTATTTTGCATGGCTTTGTTGGCAAACAAAGGGTACAGATGGCAGGAAGTAGTAGTGCATTCTTAAATAATTTAATTTCTACATTGTTGGTCTCATCTATTTCATGCTGGATAAAGAAAATAGCTTTTGCTTTCAACGCTGATTGTGTTTAGATCTAACAATTATTATTATTATTTGAAATTAATCCTTTATGCTAAAAGGAATATTTATTGGTTGGCTGATTGAAATTCTTTGTTGCCCCACACATTCACAGAATTTATTATTATCATTGGAGAATGGAATATTGATTTGTAATTGAACCTTGTTTTTTAAACAGATTGATCTGGTTCAATTGTGTTTTCATTGGTCACACGTTGCTGTGTTTTTAGGTACTGTGCAGAGTTCTCATTGAAAACCGTGAAATGAACAAACGGAAACCTAGAGACATTTCAATTACATTTCTAATTGGTTAGATATACATACTTGTACATACATAGATTTCTGTTTGAGTAACACGTTTGTTATTGCTTCTGTTTAGCACATGCCTGGCCAGGCTTTTAACTTAATTACGAAGGCTACATCGTTATCAACTACCTCTAAACTGCCATTTGCTCCCAGCACCCTTCACATCCTCGGCCCAGCCTCTGTCTAATCTTAGTGTTAACTCCAGGGTTACACCATTCCATTTCCATTTCCGGATAATGTATGTGTGTGGTTTTGCTCGGGTCTATACAGTGACTACATTTTAATGGCCTAAAAAGTCTTAACTGGCTGCGCTCCACTATGTATGCTTATGCGTCCTTATAACGTACTCACCACATCCATATTGTGTGATTGGTTTTACATTAATATTGTTTATGCAGCATAATTAACTTTGATTATACACATGTCTCTGTCGACCTTTGATTAATTTACAATGCTAATTGAGTGTTCCGCTCCTCGGCTTAAGATCTAGAATTTGCTCTACGGGTATGCAGGCTCAGCTTAGGCGCTAGTAATTGATATAAGTAGTGGTTGAGTGCGGTGACTGGCTCGCATCCTGGCTCCTCCTCCTCCTAGTCCGCATCGGACTACACACCATCCGCCTGCTCTCAGAGATAGTTCGGCCTGGAGACGCAGCAGAGCAGGCTCATGTTCTTGCAGATGTAGTTCTGGCGCCGCTTGGCCTGCCAAGGTCCAGTTGTGTCCAGTGCCGCGTTGCGTTCTGCGAACAGCACATGGAAGAGCAAACAGTTGGCTTGATTAATTAATGGATCCGGCGGGAAAATATGTAACCCCTCACATGGTGAGAGCAGAGAACAATACTGCAATTTAACCTTGGCATTTCATCTTAGTTTAACTACGATCTTTTCAGATACTTTCGCACACACTATGGAAATCTACCAGGAGCGTGGCAATAAACCACTGCAGCCCTAATAGCCTGTCCATATTTTGTGCGCAGCTTTGCCCTTTTTTGTATGCTATACAATTTTGTTTGCTCGACGGGCCTTGGCGAAATACCAAAGTGCACGGCACTGGAAGTGCAGGCAAGTCACCGGCGGGCCACTGGGAGCCCGGAAGTGCGGGAGCATGCGCAGTTGGAGCCACTCACCCAAGTACGCCTCGTGCTGGGGCATGTACTCCTGCATCTCGGCCAGGAGCACGGCGATGTCCTGCGAATCCTTGGTGATGCTGCATAATTCCTCCTCGTTGAAGTCGGGCGTGAACTGTTTGCACAACAATATCTGGCTGATGACATTGCCCAGGTTCGAGGGCCCGGCTCGGTTCTCTGAAAGTAGTAAAATAAACGAAATAAACATGGAAGCCAAGGGATAAATCGCAGCCAAGTGATAAGCCAAGGTGCAGTGGGTCAAGCTGTGGGCAGAACATTTAGCCGGAATGGCAATAAAACAAACCATGTTGTTTGACTTGGCCGCAAAAAGCGGAAGCCGCATTTATTTGTTTCATTCATTTGTATGCAAACATTTTTCTTTGACGTTTGCATTTCCCGCTTTTTATTTATTTCCCTGCTTTTGCTGCTTCATTAGCTTTTCGCTATTCGCTTTTCATTTTGGGACTCCCTTTGATGTCTGTCCGCTTGTAACCGAAATAAACTTTCGACTTTAACATTTGCTAATTTAATGAACGGAAATTTAATAATGTACTTTTGGAAGCGTGCGAGTATGCAAAGTTTGCCAATTACTCGACCCTCCTGTCCACAATCTAGACCGAAAGTTTGGCGTATTTCTATAATCTATTTGTTCAACAGTGTCTTCATTGCTTTGATATGGGCCGTTTGATTGATTGCAATCAATATTGGATCAGCAATCAATCTTCATCAGACGCATTCAAATTAATTACTTAGTGAAACTTGCTGAGCTGCATGCCTCAGTGCGTTGCAATCTATTCGATCAGCCAATGCGGCGTATGCGCAATATTCATATTTCATCGAGGATGCATGACCAGCATCCATCGTTTGCCATTTCGTTGCAGGGTACCAGCTGCGTTAGAGGGTATATTGGTTTTAAATCGGATGTATATACGTTTATATTGCAGTTTTTATAAGACTGTCCAAGAAGTGAGCCACATAAATTCTGGCTTAAATTGTGCAAAAACCCTTGCAACGAACGAACTGGCAACGAACACTTTTTTGTCGAAAAACCCTGGAAAGAAGTGTATTTTCGCTGGCAGGGCAATAATTAAAGGTCCACATAAAGCTGTCATCCCATCGCCACATACATACTATCGCACTGTCATGTCGATTTTGCGCATATTTTGGTTTGTAATTATAACAGCCAAACACCAGGCAGGAAAAACGTTTTCAATTTTTGCATTTTTTATTGCTTATTCTGCTCTGATGGCATTTTCATGGCACTGCAGATATTTGTTTGTTCCCACGGTTGGGCGCGGGTGCGTTGTAAATTTGCTGCATCCAGAGGCCCGGAGCCAGAAACTCTGGCACTCTGGCACTGTGGCTTTGGTAAATATTTACCACCCATTCTGGCCAAATTTGGCCGCGTGTTGACAGTGAGAAACCAGTGCCATTGCCAGTGCCAGTGCTGTGTTGGTGGTAATTTAAGAATTTATGATCAGCAATTGGCATTTGGCATTTGCGTTGCCATTTGTATTCACTGGCATTTCCCACGGTCACTCTGGCGACAAATCAGTTCGAAGTTTGGCTCTGCATATTTCTGCGCTCGCACGTGCACATTAAACACGACCAAAGAATGGCAATCACAGCCAGGACACACAGATCCTGAATCGCAGCTGCACTGGCCGACTCCTCAGTATGCCAAACAATTGTTGAACGTGCACTGAGTGACTGCTGCCCTGATGGCAATGTCAAAGAAACGACACCCTCGTTAGGTCAAACTCGGAATGCTGGCAAATAATTCAGAAGTGAGGTCATTTAATGCAGGCGAAGTGCGAAGTAAACGCAGCCAATCCTATGCTCGTAAACCCAAGTAAATCCACCAGTTCCCCACATATTTACAATTTCAGCATGTTAAGCCCGAGTAATTATAATTAAAGCACCATAACGACCATGCACTGGAACAGAACTGGTTTCCCGCACTTACTACAAATTATGGCAAAGTCCTTCGCTGACTTTGACATTTGCTGGCGACAGCAAAATCGCAATGACCCGAAATCGAAATGGCGACAGCTGAAACATGGTTTCAGTTGGCACTGTGCGTTGGGCGTTGGTGTTGAATTAAACTTACCATAATAGCCGGACATATCCATTGGCACGACTTGTATGAGGCGATAGCTTTTCACAAGTTCACGTAGGAACAACTGGGCCATGTAGAACAGGAGCACCAAGTGCGGGTTGTCGGTGAGGATGCCATCGGCCATGGCGCTGCAAAGAGCAGAAATGGAAGGGTTAAAACAATGGGAGCCATGCAAGGTAACGTGAACATCGGATTCCGAGCACCGAGCACCGAGCACGGAGCACCGAGCACCCAGCTCTGTGTTCCGATTTCCGATATCCGAGTGAATATGGTACTGGAGTGGCATGCCGCAGTCGGTATGAGCCGCATTTGTGGCACGCCAAATTGCATGCGGAAATTGTGAAATGAAATTTATATGATTTTATGACATTTCTTTGGGTCGAGAGTGGGGGTCGTAAACTGGCGACAAACTAATTCATTTCCGCCAACTTTTAAAGGCCATCCTAGATGGTTGTATCTGGGCTCAGCTGCTCCCGTCGAAGTAACAATTGGTTTTTCTGGGGAAACCCAGACACTCAGGCATATTTTATCAGGCCACGGCATTCACATTTTTCCCTTGTTGGAAAAATAATTCTCATTCGGAAAAAAGTGTTGGCATTGACATCAGTTCGATATAAAATATGTAACACAATAACCGGTAGAGATAAAAAACGTTTTTGATTTAAAAGTTGCTACTTCATAGACTCTACTGAAAGTTAAAATTTAAAGTGCTTAACATGTTTTCTTGAGGTTAACTTCTGTAAGTTAACGTGGGCAATTAAATTCTAATTCCACGATCAGCAGCACAACGACATTTTAATTCAACGAAATTACCATTACGAAAATGTATATAATAGCAGATACCGCTCTGCAGCATTCGCTGTGGCATAATTCATTTAGAAAACACTCAGAATTCACAGAATTTACAGTGGGTTCGCAAATTGCTGCTTAGTTGACATTAATTTCAGTTTTAGCAGCACGAGGAACACAGTTGGGGCAATTAGGAAGGCAAAACTGGGCGAATCTACGGAGTGGGACACAAATATAAATTGCCATAAACATATTTGCAGCTACACAGGAATAAATTCAATTTGCAAATTGCTTTTGCATAGCCCAAACTCTACGGAGCTGAAAATGAAAAATATGTTTTTCACAGGGGAGCCAAATCCAGAAAGTGTTGCCATGTCTTCTGATTTCACCCCACGACTGGCATTAAAGCAAATAAATTGCGAATTAATCTTCCCCAAGGTGAATCTAAAGTGGAGTTTCGGTGTGAGGGGATTCAGCATAAAGTGATTTAGATTCGGGTTCCTTACTCACGGAAAAGTTATTTGTTAGGGGAGCGAACGAAAATGTAGGCTTAGAAGACGTTGTTTTGGATCACCTAAAGTTTATCCATGCCAAAAATATATTTCAAATTACGTTTAAATACCAAAATCCTATAAATGTTAACATTTGAGCATCTGAATGAATTGCGAAATCCCCAATTAACGTATACAAATTCGCCGGCATGGTAAATTCATAATCATCCGGTTATGATCTCTCGTAATACCCCATTAATATTTTACTATCACACATCAGCATTTATGCCAGAAATTACGAAGAGAGGAGTGCGACTTTAATGTCTCAAATCGTAATCAAATTAATGCCAAGCGATTTCCTTGAAAAACTGCAAGTTGTAAATGGCAAAGGGCAATGTTTTAATGACCTCCCGCTCCGATTATCCCATCATTCCATCTTTCCTGGATTGTGGAGCGCGGACATTAACGTGGGTCATTTTCGCCAGCACCGCACCCAGAAAACGGCAATAATAAGTTTGGAGCAAAGGAACCAAATCTGCAAAGCATCCAAGCATCCGAGCATCGCAGCAAAAAAATAAATAAAAGCGAAGGGCAAACCGAAGAAAAAATGGGCAGACCATTGTCAGCAGATGGTCTTGATTACAGCTCGGACGTAATATTCATTTATTGCAAATAACACTGAAGTATTTTTTATTCCCTCGCTAGACCCGAGGAAATTCAGCGCAGAAGACTGAACGGAATGGTGAAGGAACTGGCCTTCATAAAACGCGCTGCCCAATCGAAGTTATTAACTGCAGCTGTATGGAGCTGTTAAAATTGCCACACTTTACGTGACGAGCTCTCCCTAATTGTGTAACTCTAGCCACTGCCTCCCTGTCCTCCATAATTTGCTGTCATTTTCACAAACATGACCACAGAACACCGAGTCTTCCTCCGAGTTGGCCATCCGGCGAGGGAAGCCGGCATCAAGTGTCGAAATAATGAACGAAGTAGCCGACAGCGACAATAAAACAATGCAGCACAGCAAGGACCATGGGATGCCAAAGGATATGGGCAATATTACCAATCAAGGCATAAAAATATCATTTTTTACTGAGTTTTGAAGGGTTTCCCCAGATATTACGAAACACGTAAAAGCGTAAGTGTTGTATATTAAACAAAAAACACAAGTAATAAATGCATAAGTTTTTGAAATATATTCTTAACTCTCATCCACTGTGGCAGTGGCAGTTGCAGGAAACATAAAATTTCCGACACAGCCGCAGACAACGCCATCGACGACGTCTATGAGATTGGCTTTGGCTTTGGCTTTGATGGGGCCGTCCCCGGAGGTCTGAATCCTTGTGTTATGTTCACCCGGCGGACTCTCTGGGCAATTGTCGGATTGTGTTTTCCGTGCAGCAGCGAAGGACGCAGGACGAAGGATGTGGCAGGCAGAGCAGTCCGAGTAATAATATTTGCAGCGGAAATGCGTTTAAGGCAGCACCATGGGTATGGGGATGGATTGCGTGGAGTGGGACCTCGTCCTGCCCCCGAGGACTCTGTTGACTAACTTGGCTGTCAAAACAGGAGGAACCGAGCAGCTAAAACAAAGGCAGCGCCAGTAATTTAGCAACAACAAACAACTGCACATAACTACAAGGCAAACAGCAGAACAAATGCGAAGTAAGCGCAGGCAAATAGACAGATGGATAGATAACATGAACACAAACGCAAACACGGCGAAATGGACCGAACGTCGCCTCCAAGGATATACATGTGCTATATAAGATACACTGCGATTCAGCAGCAATAGGCTCAAATACTGCTGGGGAAAATCCAAAGGTTTTATCCCTTTGCCTGAAGGCAGACTATAAATTCTTTTGCTGTTTCAGATTACAGCTGACTAGCGCCTTGGTATTGATTTTCTCCGAGTGTATCTTCAGGACATGTATAAGTGCGAGTTGGACAAACAAACAGGCAAACAACTATCAGTCACTCAAGGCAGTCGGCAAAGTGCTGCCGCCATCTGAGAATCTTAGTGGAAATGTGAATGGAAATGGAAATAGCCATGACTTGGGAAAACGCCTCAAAGAGTGTCTGCTCCAAGGTAGTCTCATAGGTCTTGGCTGATTTTTCTCAGCACTCCCCTTTTCGTAGGGGAATGCCATTTCATTGCCTTGGGTGGCCGCAAGGTATCACAACTTTGTCGTCTTGTTTGGCCAGCCAAACCACAAAAGTTGGGGCTAAATGGTAAATGTATTTGTTCTAAAAGCCAAGTTCGAGGGGCATATTTGAGTTGCTATTATGAATGTTTAGTTTGCGGTGATCTAACACAAACAGAAAAATGTAAAAACATTTCACAAAGCTCTCAGAAATATTGCTTAATTTAATCCGAGCTCTGGATGCCTAATTTCCATCATTAAATAAATCAGAACTTTTCCATTTCTGGTTTAGGTGCAGGTATAATTCGTTTAAAAAGCTTCAACGACTATATTCATTCTTTAACAGAAAGACTTGACATATTCCTTACGGCAAAACAGCAAACTTTAAGTATTTATTTTCCCATGGCGTTCTTGCTTTTCTTACTTTTTCCTCTTTATGGGATATGGGACAGTAGCACCGAGTTGTTGTGACTTTGGCTGTCGCACATGGGTCATGCATGTGTTTACAAAACATAAAACAGCAACAAACATCGAAATATTGTCAGAAAGTTTGGCTCTGTCATTGCCAAGTTGCCACTAAAGTTTCTACCCAACCTCACGGTGCCTTCCATTTGCTTTGTTCATTTTCGGAGAGCATACTTTTTGCTTTATTGAACTTTGACTTTCAATTTAACTTTGAGTCCTCGAGCTGGCGGCTTTTTTGCAGCGCTAATTCATTGTCGTCACTCATACGCCATGTGCGCCTATCTGCAAACGGTGGCTCTGCGAGGAAATGAAGAATGTGAGGCTGACTGCTCGTCGTGTCGTTCATTTGTGTCAATAAAGCAGAAATTAATTGAAATCTTCCCATTGCCCCCTTTTCTGGTTTTTGTCCCTGGCCGACTGCAGGCAATCATCAATTTAACTGTCTCTGGTTCCGCTTTTTCTTCATTTTTCTGCACTTTACCCAGTCGAATGTGTAGTGCGGATGGACAGAAGGCTGATGCGAATGCTCGTCTCGTTATATTGACATTTCTCACTTCAGAGTGACATTTAAAGCCTCTGCTCGATAATAAATCACATTGTCATATGGCAGCGTGGTGTGCTTAAAAAGTTCCTACCCTCACACAAAAATTTGACAGATACCCCATGTCTGAAATTACAAATATGGCATTGTGTGTGAATTCCTCGTCAAGATGTTCACTAAAAAAAGAAAAAGGAGGCGTGCGATAATGGCACATGTGTGGCATCCACAAGGGATTTCGCCTTTGAAACTTTTTGGAGGCATAAATCAATAAATTGAATTCGGTAAACAGACAGGCCCCAAAAAAGTCAACAGGGACGTTCAAGTTTTGTGCCTTTCTGGGTTCTCCAGAGTAAATCGATATCGCACTGATGGAAGCTAATGCCACATCATTCGATGCGGGCTTTCAACCAAATTTGTGCAGTTTTTCCTTCACTTTGCTCGCTGTTATTTCGAAACAAATGAGAAAAACAATAGCACAACGGTCCTTTCATCAGGTTTAATGAATAAAAATTACCCAATATGCTCTGAGCACCGGAGGCAGCTCGAAAAAATGTTATTAGCTTTTGCCGTTTCGGATTGAAGGGATCGGGAAGTTGAAGTGCTCTGATAAATTATGCAGCACTTTGAAATTGAATTTCAAACTCAGCCACTAACTCATTTTGGAAAGCATTCCAAGGACCTTCAATCCGAGCCCAACAAATTGTTATTTATGTTTTCTGAACCCAACCCAACCGCTTTTCTCTTTCCAATTTGCCTGCAATTAGATTTGCATACATTTCCATAAGGAAGGGACAGCCACATGAGGGATATGCCCCAAATGTCACACACACGTTGCTGTTTATGTTTATGTTAATGCTATCTATCCCTTTGCGGGTCCTTCGCTCAGTTACACTGGACAAAATTGCTGTACTCCCTGGATATACATCTATGAGCTTCGTAATTCTGATAATAAATGAAATAAAAAGTATATTGGTAGTGCTTAAATGATTGTTTCCCGTGCACATGGAAATCGAAAGGGACTGTGCTACGCACTCACCTCTTGACTTGGGGCATCAGGATCTGGGCGGTGTGCTTGAGTGCCTCCACGCAGGTGCGACGCAGCTTGCGGATCTTCTCCCGGAGCTCGGGGCAGTCCTTGGCCTGGCCAACGTGTATCAGCATGTCCCGGAATAGCGCCACATGGCTGTTGATCTCCACGATGAGCTGAAATCACACGGATTGGCGGGTGTGGATGAGCGATTCATATCAGGGTCATCGGTGGCGACTGATGCTTAAATTATGCGAGAGCTCTATTAGCCCGGGCACATAGCACATTTGATATTTTAATTTATGCACAACCCCATCTAAGGACTTAATATATATGTATTTGTTTACCCAGCCGGGTTGTCGGCCCATCAAAATTTCTGGGAAATTCTTGGCCAGATAAAATGGAGGCTGCTCCTGTAGTTTTACGGCCCATTGCCGAAATGGAGGCGGCCAATGAGTCGAGCAATCGAGACCTAATTCCTTGGCCGACGCCATCGACTTTCGCCAGCGGCGGAATCAGGCTCATAAAAATTAAAATGCCCGCAATGCAAAGGATTATTCGAGCTCACTTTTATGGCTTTTGGGTGGGTTAGCCCTGTTTTTGGAAAAGCAGAAGGGTCAAGCTGCTGCTGGAAAATATGTTAGGTCAATTGTTGTTAACTAAATTCCTCATTCTTGGTTAATTTGGTTAATTTGATGTGATGTTGATTCGCTGTGTGCGCTCTGGTTGGTTGGCTTTGGCTTTAATATCAATATTGTTATGCATTATAATTATACATAAAGCACCTTGTAGGCTTATGACCAATTAAAACTGCTATTTCACCGATTTATTTTTAAATAAATTTCGATATGCTTTTATTCTCTTACTGCCGCCAAGTTAATTCCATAGTCAGTCATAAGCTTAATTTGCACTCACACACACGAGCCGCTGCCACAAATCCAACGCACACACGCATGCGAGTGGCACGTTTAAATATTAATGGTTGACTCCGGCAACCTCATTTCGCAACCAGTCCCCGCCCAAAATCCACTCCCCCATCTGGTCGCGCACTTCATTTAAAACGCGGCGTATGCGTAATTTTAATAATCCTCGAATCCTCGAATCCCCGAATCCTGAAACGCCCCCGGCGAACGCAAAGTGAATTCTGTGGCTTGACTCAATTTGGGACGACAGCTGTGCGTTGAGGACTGTGCCGATGAAGAAATCAGGAGGGAGGCTGGAAGATTTGCAGCCTTATGAAATATATGCATGATTAGTCATATTGATGGCATCGGCTTGACAATGCCACAAAGACTGCGCCCCAAAGAGAGGCGTAGGCGTAGCGGGGCGGGGCACTTAGCCAAATTGCTTATTGAAAGTGCTGTGAGTGCGGCGCTTCCCACCCTTAAAAACTTTCTCCAATAAATGGGCGGGCCCAAGGGGGCGGGATCATGGTTTTGTAATCATTCCTCTTGGCTCGGGCCTAGCCGAAACTTTTCCACCATCAGCTGTTGCTGCCCTCTCCTCGTCGGCAACTCGATTGGATGTATTGTTTTTGGAACCCAGCTTGGCTTGCTTGTTTGCCTTTCAGTTGTGATATTGACAGGAACAAGACAGAATCGATGGGGAATCAGGGTTAATTTTAAGCAGAAAATCAAATTGTGCCTGCTCAGGAAAAAGGGCTCTGCGAAAGGATTGGAAAAAGGGCAAAAAGGAAATCATATGGTGCAATGTAGGGCAAAGGTAGATGAATAAAACACATTTGCCTGAAATACAATTTTCTTATTTTAGTGCTAGCATTTTGGGTTCAAAGGCTAAGCCCTATGTGACCTGACTATAATTCATTAAATACTTAAATAAGACACAGCTCACTGGAAACCCCACGAAATAACGTCTGCGTTGCAGCCTAATTATTTGGGGTTTTTTCGCCGGTCGGCCAAGGACAGTGGCTCCCATAAAACAACGGCAAGTGAGGCACAGGTATAAGCTCATAAAAGCCACACGCATAAATTTTATATGACGCTTAAATCTCGGCAGACATAAAGAGACAACGCAGGGCTTTCACTGCCGGAAAAGGGGGCGTGTTTTTTTTGGTTTTGGATGGGCACTGCAAAAGTTCATGCAGCTCATGCAAATCCCAAACGTAAACGCCTGTCGTCTTCGTCCTGCGGCAAAGGTCCTTGGGCTGGCATAAAAAGGGACAGCCGACAGCGGCGCTAAACCAGAGTCGAGTCCCTGTGCAACAACAAAGACAACGAAACGGCAAATAATACAAATGCGAAAAAAGCCCGAGCACATTTCGGAAATTACCTGGCCAAACTCACACACCAACCCAATATATATGTATGTACATATGACTGGGATATACTCGTATGTATTCAATTCCCCCGGCGCACTTGGCGCTCCATTTGGTCAGTAATGAAAGCAGTGCCTCATAACAGCCGCACCAGCTAAAAAGTGTGCCACAAAAGTTGTGCCGCCTTGTGATGCAGCGTGTAGACTAGTAACAAGTTGTAGGGAGAATCCCCTTATCATTCCACATTGCATATGAATATGCATATCCATGCGGAACTGGACTGGCCACGTTGTTTCACCAATCCCCCGACTGCCAACCACTTGCAACTACTTTTGCGTCAACAGTTGAGGCGGAAAATTGAAAAACATCTGCGCGCTTAGTGCAGCAAAAGGAAACGAAAGCAGAAACTGCACGCGTTCTACGTGCCACATGCCAAGTGCCATGTGCAGCGAAGTTAAAGTAAACGTTATCCACAGAAATTTAGCTGCTCTTTTTGTCAGAAAGTTTCTATGAGAGACCAATACCAAATAAGTAAAAATAACGCTTCTATTAAATATGCTGCATACTCATTGGAAATCTTGAGTAGTTTTTCCCAGTGCACATACGTGCTGCGCTTGCCATAAAAAACGTACTCCCACTCCTTCCCTCATTTCCCAAATGTGTAAATCAGCAAAAACGCAAATGCCACAATGCCAAGAACAAGACAAAGAAAGCCCGCGGGTAGAAAGATGGCATAAGATGGGTGGTGTGGGTGGTGGGTAAGGAAAGCAGCCAACACACAAAAGCGAACGACGACAAGCAAAACTGAATCTAGACAAAGTGAAAGCGGAAATTAAAATTGCAATACAAAAGGGGCGAACCAACAAAGACAAAGACAGCGTTTTCATAATGAAGAGAGTGTGTGGGCGGTGGCATGTGTTAGAGTTTGTTTTGGAATAGCTGAAGAATGCATTTGCCGCGGGCAATGAAAAAATAATGTCCACATGCAACACTTTGTACTTGGACAAGCACTCTGCACAAATTTGAAGAAAAGTTTAAAATGCAAAAAGTTTTAGCCTTACATTGCTGGGAATATTTATGGCCAGGATAATAGTAATTCTCCGTTTTCATTTCGCAGAAACAGCAGATGCACTCCTCTCAGCCAATAAATATCACGCACCATTTGCAACACAAGCTGTAAAAACTTTGATAACGCGCTGCCGCTAATGCGCTTTCTACACTTTTCACATTCACATCCACAGCCACATCTGTTGATGTCCAGCAACTGCCACGCCCACATGGAACAATTGCGGGCGGACTGGGGGCCAAGCTTACAGAGTGCAATGCCAAAACGCATTAGCCAGTTCAACCAACAAGTTGAACTGTAGAATAATTACTATCGAACTGGCGGGGGGTCGGCGGTGGAAGCAGGCAATCGCAGGAAGCAGGCAACTAGCCAACTGTCCTTTCAGCAGTCGACCTTTAACCCCGCACTCCCACTCCGCCACCACTTGGCCAAACAAAGGTTCGTTACAGTGTATGAATGTCCGACAGGGTTTTCAAATCGGCTTACAGAGAAAGAAATGCACAATGCCACTTCAAATATACAGAAACCATTTCAATCATGACCAATTGCAATTTATTTAACCAATTCCGTTTTCTTCGATAAGAATTGGAATTAAATACACTACTTCACAATGTGTTTAACAGAAAGTTACACGTTTTTTTCAGTGTCCTTTGGCTTGGTAACAACTTGCAGCAGGCGAAAACAGAGGGCAGCATCGAAAACATCACAATGCCGCAGATGTGCAACACACACGGCCAATATCGAATGGTCCCATGAGAGGTATATGGGGATAAGAGGGAGAGGAGTGTGTGTATGTGTGGCGCAACCAGGGACTTTGGTGTTAGCCACAAAGCCCCACTCGGCCAGCAGCAGCAATAAAGGAAAAGAAGTGTCTAGAACAACCAGCGACTAGCATAACTGCGGCAAAGTGACGGTGATGAGAGCCCCTGACCCTCGTCAACCAACGACCCCTCCGAATTCGATTCCTGCTGCCACAGAAAGCAATTTGGACTCGGCTGCCTGCCCCTGCTTAGATCACGTGCAACACCGTTGCGGTTTCGCAATTGCTGGCCATTACAAAAGGATCTGAACTAAGATTATAATTATTGTATTTAACTGTTCCTACACTGTTCCCATAAAAACAAATAAATAGTTCATCTAAAAACGTTTATTTTAATCTATACATTTAGGGAAATTATTAAAAACCTTACAGGGCTGCGGGTGGCTTAAGTTCTTAAAGCTATACTCGAAAAGGAAGGAACCTTTTTATATCTCGCGTAACCCAACATTTTCATTTGCAAAGAAAACTCCCATCTAGGCGGCAATTGCATCGGCCATTCGGGTCATTTGCGTAAGTGATAACAAAAATGTGTAATCCGCAAAATCGATAAGATGCTCGCTCCGGAACCAGACGGACTTTTATTTGCTCCTTGACGAGGAGTGGGTCTCAATGGCCGGCGATTACGGCGATGTTGAGTTGGGTGGCAGCCAGGAGAAGGACCAAAGGACCAAAGGACCAAAGGACCGACCAAATGGTCGGAGTGTGTGCTGAGCGCCTCGGTTTACATTATCAATCAAGCCGACTGACAATCGACGGATACCTTTCGGCCGTATTGGGAGTGACACAAGGCGGAGAATCTGGCCCAGGACCTTGAACACGATCCTTTGTTTGGCCAGGACTTTTTATTGCGCAACTTTCGCCCTCAAATTTATTTGGTCTTCAAACCACATACATACGTACAAGCCCCACGCAATGGAGACAAATGCTCGTCGCTAAAGTTAAGCACAAGTTTTCAGTTTTTATTGAGGTCCTGCGGTCCCAAGCCCCCAAAAACCGAGAGCCACGCAGACAGAAGAGCAGCCCCAATGACAGGGTCGACTAAATGTCTGAGCAAACATGCCATACATTATTCCAGAATTAATGAAGACATATTGGCGGCTGTTGAGTGTGGGAGTGCTCATTTAATGAAAATTGGTTGTAGTTCTTTTTGGGCAGTGCTTCCCGCTGCTCCAAGCTCCATGAAAAACTGCAGTGGCCAAACCCGAAATTATTATTTCCACTCTAGACCAAGACGCGAGCCATTTTTCTTAAGCTAAAACTGGGGGAGACTTCACGGTCTTTCCTCATCATCGCTAGTCACTCTCCCCCTTTCATCGAGTGTTTTTAAAAGCGAAAACATGCTGACACACTGAGAAAAACTGCACACCAAAGTGCTGAAATCAATGCTTAAATAAATTGTACATTCAAATATACAACAAAGGTAGACTGCTTTGTCAAGCCCAAGTTTATGTGCTTTATCTTTTAGTCAACATACTGTATTGTAGAAACACTAGATGGTGTAGAAGTTACTGGAATATTTGTTTCAGTGCCGAGGTCGTAGTTTGGGTGGGCGTGGCTCTGTGCGTGTCCTGTGAAAGGAGAACTGCCTCGTATAAAAGAACTTCATTACTTTGCGCAACAGCTCGCGAGAATATAATGAATGGCAATAAACGTGTTTCACATTTTCCTTTTCGCTGCCACTCCAGCCGACTTCCCCCGAATTTTTCTCAAAAACATTTCTCATTTAGCTGCTAGAGAACTTTTGTGTTTGGTCAAGTGAGCCACGTTCGCTTGACCACCTAACACCACCCACCGCCCACTTTCACTTAATGCAATCCTTTCATTAATTTCCATCAGCTGGTAATGCAATGGGTGGTCTGCTCTTAACTAACTTCCTTCACATGCAAACCATAAACTTGTTTTCCACTCAATCTTGTTATTATTATTCTGCCGCGGAAGCTGCGCCACTACACTTCGAAAAATCGCAGGCAACTTTATTAGCTCATTTTCCGAAGCACGATTTTACTGCAGCTTAAACTGATGAATTGCAGTCGGCATTCATTAGTGCTTGTCTTCATTTGCCGAAAGGCGACCATGCATTTTTTCCGAAAGGTCACGCAGCCAGAAGCCAAACTCTTCGAATTTTGAAGTGCAAAAGAATTCCTTGGGAAAGCAAATGCAATTTGGCAATCGTTTGGGGTTTGCAAGTTTGGGAACAAGCTAAATTGGTTTCGCTCTTTGCCAGAATTTATCTTTTCAAATGCAATCAAGCGTTCGGACTGTGAGTTCGGAAAGCAGAGTTACTGATGCCTTCGCACAGACTAGACAGCTTGGCCTTTTCACTTTAAGGCGATTTAACAAATACATAAATTACTTTTAGCAAATGTGACATTTCTTAGATTTTTAGCTCAGTACATTAAACGATTAAAGTATTTGATTCTACCTTCTAGTCTTCAAGTTCATAGGTTTTATTTCGGATAGCTATCATTTTATTATGTAGATATAGATATATACCATAAATATCATTAAAAAATCGTTCATAATGGTAAGGAACCCCTCGACCTACCGTATTCAGGTTGGTGATCTTGTCCAGCTCCACGGCCGTACTGCCGCGATGGTGGTGCAGGTGGTGCAGATGGTGGGTGGTCAACATGTTGCTCGTTGGTGTTGCTCTTGCTGCTGTTGTTGCTGCTGATGCTGCGGATGCTGCTGATGCCGCTGTTGCTGCTGCAGTGTTGCAGATTCGTGCTGGTGCTGCTGCTGCTGCCGCATTCAATCGAACATGGCTCTCGGGTCACAGATATGCGCTATTTGTTCTCGGAGCCGCGGCAAGCCATCGAGACAGCCGCTGAGCTCGCAAATTGGCAATGGCTATGGGATGCACTTAGCTTCGCTTGTTTCCAATCACATCACCTGGTGCGCTGACCATCTGCGAACATAAATAAAACAAATAACATAGACCGATTGAGTGGGATTCAGATTGAATTGCATATATGCGAAATGCGGCGACACCGGAAAATGTTGGCACGCCTTTCCGGCATCACCGGGAAAATGGAAGGCGGGGAAATCGGATGTGGCATCGCCGATTTCCGTCACGCCACTTCACCATCGTCGCCACAATCGACTCATTCGGGGATTTTAGTTTGCATTTTGCTTTATTTTCTCCTGCCCCTGCTTTTTTTTTGTGCCATGCCATCGATTTTCATTTGTGGCCCCGCATTTTTGCTCCCAGCAAGAAAAACAACAAACGCACCGGATGCGACAGTTGGCAACCAACTGCTCCTGGCACTTTCGGCGTTAACACTTCATTTGGCTTTGAGTGGCTGGATTGGCTACTACGTGGCCACAAACTTGCATCCACTTGGCCTCTGCCCTCCGCACCCTTCGATTCGCACAAATAAACAAGCAGGCAACAAAAGGTCGAGCTCGAGAAGGGAAATTAAATTAAATTCAACTCTTGGTGCTGCAGCAACATGCAGACACTAGATCAACACAGAGGGTTGCCTAAAAAGTATTGAAAGCTTAAATATCTCTGCCGGAAATTCCCTAAACAAAAAAACCAGAGCTCTCAGCGGAGATCTTTGTGTACAGACGTTTTTTTTCTTTTTTATTTCAGTTGTATTGAATCAGTTCACTGGCGACCTTCGCCACCGCGACCGACCTTTGCCAGCCCATCCTGTCCATAAAACGATGAAATTACATTAAAGGAAAACAACTGAGAATTACTAAGCTGCAGCTGCATCAGCTGAAAAGTCTGAAAAGTCTGAAAGCCAGCGCAGGAAAGCAAGGCAAACAAATAATGTAGGCTAAGACCCGAGGTAAATTGTTTGCCATGGCGATGCGATGCGATGCGATGCCAGTATGCGATGGAGCAAAGCTATCTGCCTGCAGTCCGTGTTTGATTTGTGCCAGCCAGTCAAGTCGCTCGATTTGCCAACACAAACAGTTCAGAATGCGCCTTGAGCTAGGGTTTTGAATAAATTTAGCAGAATATCAATTGAAAAAGCTTGAGAGGAGTTGATAAATGCCATAGGTCAGTTAATACTCATTAAATCGAATTTAATTCTCACTTAACGAAAATGATAAATATGAATAGAGTGCTCTGGGCAAAACACTCGAAGGTAATTGGCAAGAAAGAAATTGGCAATTGCAAACTGTGAGTATCTAAATATTTATGGAAATCAGCTAATGCAAAGATATCAATCTAGTTTGCGATTTAATTTTTGACAATTTAACTTGGTCCACCAGAATAATTTCATAGAGGAAGCGAAATTAATTTCCTGTTGGAAAATTAAATTCGCACACTTTTTGGCACACAAATGAGGCTTAGGCATCCTGCGTTACCAACTAAATGCGATGCCACATTAACGCCTGCCCCGCCGTAAATGCAACTGATAAGAGGTGTATGTCTGATGGCTTAGAATCACACTTTTCCCGGAAGGATCCGCATTGTTTGGCATCGGGCGTGGAAGGACGAGCCGCGTGCTCGGCATGGAAAAGCGCCTCATTAAGTCACGGTGCGCTGGAAAATATGCCGCTAAAGGATTAAGCAACGATGCCGGCGACAAAATGCCGCGTCGCCTATTAAAGGATCTCATCCCTATCCCCATCCCCATCCCCATCCCCATCTTCATCGTCGTCCTCGTCTGCTACCCATTTTCATTTCCATTTTCATTCCTGTTGCTGCCGTGCGCTTCGCCGGCTAAGTGTAATTAAAAACTTAAATGGAGAAAGAATTTAAATGTGTTGCTCTTAGCATTTATGAAACATTAACGCGAATCTGTTGCAGATCGAGTTCTGTTTAATAGTCTGTGTGTTGTTGGCTCGACTTAAATGAATTTCGTATCTGCCACGGTGGCGTATACGCAACCTTGCTATCTGCCACTGTGGCGTATACGCAATATCTGGCACAGCCACTGCGTGGGCGAAAAAGTACGCCACAATAACAAAACGGGGCCTAAGAATGCGTGGCTGTTTCATTTGTGTGTGGGAAATCCTTAACAACAGAATGCCATAATCGTGTGAAATAAAACCATTCCGCATGGCAGCCAACGTGTAACTGCGAGTGCATAGAACATGCTGACTAGCTGGGAATTAGCCCCTCAGTCTCGACACTCCACCAGACATGGCAGAAACTCATTAGCTTTATTACACAGACACCACTCTGCGGCTAAATCTGAGGGGGCGGCACCGACTGAAGGCCCCACATGCGTATTAACTATTCATGCCCACACACACTCATTCCCTTTCTCTTGCGCCGCAAAGACATTTGAATAATTTTGACAAATGTGTGATTAATTCAAACATTTTGGCAACTAAGGCTGTCATTTTTTATGTGCGCACGACAGCAAATTAGCACTTCATACACAGGAACTGACTCTCATTCTCGTTACGGACATGATAGGTGCAATTTGAACTTGAAGGCCGGAAAAACTTTTCGAGCCGTTGTTTTAATAAAAGAAAGGAACGAGCATGTATCTCAAATTTAGAAGAATGAACAAAAAGGCCGTCTTCAAAGTTAAGGAAACTAATTTGTTTGTCTACGACCAGTTCAAGTTCATAAGCACATTATGTATACGAATTTTATACGGTATATGCGGTATATTCTAAGAGTGAAAGTCTTTGAAATTGCATGACACGAAAAAACACAGAATAATTTGGCATATATGTAAAAAACCTACAAGAGGCTCATTTATTCCCGAGTGCCCCACGACAGTTAAGCTTTCTGCGCCAGCCAAGTCCTGTTCAATGCCCCACAATGACTGCCTGATTGGGGCTTGGGCGATCAAAGACGCTGACAAAGTGAAATTTATGGCATTTGGCACACTTAAAGCTAAACGTCGGCCGCACACTATGCAAAAGGCCAGCGAGCAAAATATGAAACAAAAATCAGCCAGAGAGGGCAGGAGCTGAAAAGTGCACACAGCAAATAAAAGCGGCGGTATAAAAGAGTCGCATGCCGGAAACGGCAAACGACTGTCGGCGAGGGGAAAGAGGAGACCTAATGCCAATGCCAAACACCGGATGCGGATGTGTGACACATGGCCAAGGGGCGACCTGCCCCCCGCCGTCACCCCAATCCCAATCCCATTCCAGCGACGACGGGCAACATACGCACAATGTCATTGTCGCTCGCTTTAAGTAGGCGACTTTATTAAGCCGAGGACACCGAGGAGCACCTCAAAAGTGGCCGGAGCGCAGCAAAAGCAAATGGCACAGCGTTTTAGAATGACAAAAACGGGCACTGTGGCACTGGCAACATGAGAATATAGTACATTTTAATAGTAAAAGATGTTTCTACCTAATAAATATGCTTGCAACTTGAGCTAAGCTTAGCAATACTTCTTATTGGTTTTTCTGTATAAATCTTTAATCATTTTTTTATAAGAAATAGATCCGAATATTCAGTTAACTTCTATTTTCAATGGTGTTCCAGTTTAAATTATTTACGTTTAGACTGCTAACTAGGCATATAAATTATAGCCGTAAACCGCGCATATAAATCAGATTGCACAGATGGCTCAAGTTGCAGCCTGAAACCCGTAGCTCCCAAGGTGGCCTTAAATTAGGCGCGGAGCTCCGCTGAAGCGAAATTCCCACTGTGCATTGAGGGCTTGCGAAAAGAACAAACGGCATAATAGGCTGGCAGGACACCTGGGCACGTGTGGGCTGTTGTTTTGACTGGCCTTGTCAGGACTCACCTGGCATAAAATTAAGCTATGACGACGCGTTTGTCGCCTGGCTACTTCTTATGCCGGGGCAAAGGTCGTTTACGGCACGGCCACAATTTGTTGCTTTTTGATATTTATTTAGACGGCGGTGGCGCATGAGAAGTGAAAAGCGCACAGCCCAGTCGGAACATAAATCAAAAGCACAAGGCGGCGGAAAAACCGTGAAGGAAAAGCCGCAGCGGAAAGGGAAAACGCTGCGGCAACAATGGAAATCGTTTTCAGCTGCAGGGAGAGAGCGACTTAAACTGGTTATTTATGGCAGGCCAAGGGCGAAGAGTTGAGTCTGCAAGGCCCAGCTGGGTTTTCCCGATCCAAACTATTGCAGAGGAAAAAAGCGAGAAAGTCTAATGACCCACGACACCCAAAAAAAAATTTTACTTTTCCATTAGGATTCAACATTTTCTTGTCCCAAAAGTATGCAATGACTCACACCCTTCTTCCCTATAATTTCCAACCAGTTCAAGCCATTTCCTCACCTAGTGCATGTGATATAAACGCAAAAGGACATCAAATTAATTGAAGCATGGATAGGAAGAACAAGGACCCTTGGTCTTTTGCCCTAAATGGCGATGACAGCGATAAATCGTCGGGCAACGAGAGCCCCTTTTCGACCAGATCCTCGAGCAGCTCCAGTAACACCAGCAGCGAAACCTCCGTGGAGAAGGAGCCAGCCACCGAAACGGAGAGCCTGTGCATCCCGGGTGGCAGCTATGATGTAAGTAACGACTTTCCCAATTAGGACGCATTAATCGATACGCATTTCCTATCCTATCAGATTATCAGCAAGAGCAACATGCAGCAATTTGTGCACAAAATCGATGGAAATGCCTCGCTGGACGATCAAGGATGCGATATGATGGCCAGAATAGCCGATGCCTTCGTTAATGACGTTTCCATGCGCATGGTCAAGTTGGCCAAGTACCGAAAGAGCCACGTTAGCGTGCTAGACCTGAAGTTCATCCTCAAGCGCGAGTACAACATGGAGTTCCCCATTGAATAAATTGCATCTATTAACAATAAATATTAAAAACTAACTAGTAATAAATAAATATTTTAATGGGAAAAAAATGCACAATTTAAAAATTGTGGAAATAATAAATAGGTACACAGCATAAAAAACTTCAGCATTCATAGCTCTGTTTTGTAAAGGTTTTTTCTTCACAACTCAGCTAAAAATGGTCATAAATATAAAAGAATAACAGTTTTTTGCATCTTATTACCAATGCCAACGATCCCTATCACTTTTTGGTGAATACAAAAAAATTTATTTTTCCATCATTTTTCGCATTTTTTTTAAATTTTTTAAATCATCAAATTTTGCCGAAAATGTCAAAAATTTAAATTAGGCAAATTTTAATGCAAATCGATTTGGGGATAAAATACAAGCTCAAAGAGGTATGCCAATTGTTATTTGGTCAATTATTTCCTGAGCTATGACGAAAAGTCGTTCCAAAAATATGAAAAACGTCCTTTGGCAAAAACTCAATATCTAAGAATGGTTTTTTCTTCACAACTCAGCTAAAAATGGTCATAAATATAAAAGAATAACAGTTTTTTGCATCTTATTACCAATGCCAACGATCCCTAGCACTTTTTGGTGAATACAAAAAAATTTATTTTTCCATCATTTTTCGCATTTTTTTTAAGGGGTACCATCATCAAATTTTGCCGAAAATGTCAAAAATTTAAATTAAGCAAATTTTAATGCAAATCGATTTGGGGATAAAATACAAGCTCAAAGAGGTATGCCAATTGTTATTTGGTCAATTATTTCCTGAGCTATGACGAAAAGTCAAAATATATTTGGTCCAAAAATAAGAAAAACGTCCTTTGGCAAAAACTCAATATCTAAGAATGGTTTTTTCTTCACAACTCAGCTAAAAATGGTCATAAATATAAAAGAATAACAGTTTTTTGCATCTTATTACCAATGCCAACGATCCCTATCACTTTTTGGTGAATACAAAAAAAATTATTTTTCCATCATTTTTCGCATTTTTTTTAAGGGGTACCATCATCAAATTTTGCCGAAAATGTCAAAAATTTAAATTAAGCAAATTTTAATGCAAATCGATTTGGGGATAAAATACAAGCTCAAAGAGGTATGCCAATTGTTATTTGGTCAATTATTTCCTGAGCTATGACGAAAAGTCAAAATATATTTGGTCCAAAAATAAGAAAAACGTCCTTTGGCAAAAACTCAATATCTAAGAATGGTTTTTTCTTCACAACTCAGCTAAAAATGGTCATAAATATAAAAGAATAACAGTTTTTTGCATCTTATTACCAATGCCAACGATCCCTATCACTTTTTGGTGAATACAAAAAAATTTATTTTTCCATCATTTTTCGCATTTTTTTTAAATTTTTTAAATCATCAAATTTTGCCGAAAATGTCAAAAATTTAAATTAGGCAAATTTTAATGCAAATCGATTTGGGGATAAAATACAAGCTCAAAGAGGTATGCCAATTGTTATTTGGTCAATTATTTCCTGAGCTATGACGAAAAGTCGTTCCAAAAATATGAAAAACGTCCTTTGGCAAAAACTCAATATCTAAGAATGGTTTTTTCTTCACAACTCAGCTAAAAATGGTCATAAATATAAAAGAATAACAGTTTTTTGCATCTTATTACCAATGCCAACGATCCCTAGCACTTTTTGGTGAATACAAAAAAATTTATTTTTCCATCATTTTTCGCATTTTTTTAAGGGGTACCATCATCAAATTTTGCCGAAAATGTCAAAAATTTAAATTAAGCAAATTTTAATGCAAATCGATTTGGGGATAAAATACAAGCTCAAAGAGGTATGCCAATTGTTATTTGGTCAATTATTTCCTGAGCTATGACGAAAAGTCAAAATATATTTGGTCCAAAAATAAGAAAAACGTCCTTTGGCAAAAACTCAATATCTAAGAATGGTTTTTTCTTCACAACTCAGCTAAAAATGGTCATAAATATAAAAGAATAACAGTTTTTTGCATCTTATTACCAATGCCAACGATCCCTATCACTTTTTGGTGAATACAAAAAAAATTATTTTTCCATCATTTTTCGCATTTTTTTTAAGGGGTATCATCATCAAATTTTGCCGAAAATGTCAAAAATTTAAATTAAGCAAATTTTAATGCAAATCGATTTGGGGATAAAATACAAGCTCAAAGAGGTATGCCAATTGTTATTTGGTCAATTATTTCCTGAGCTATGACGAAAAGTCAAAATATATTTGGTCCAAAAATAAGAAAAACGTCCTTTGGCAAAAACTCAATATCTAAGAATGGTTTTTTCTTCACAACTCAGCTAAAAATGGTCATAAATATAAAAGAATAACAGTTTTTTGCATCTTATTACCAATGCCAACGATCCCTATCACTTTTTGGTGAATACAAAAAAAATTATTTTTCCATCATTTTTCGCATTTTTTTTAAGGGGTACCATCATCAAATTTTGCCGAAAATGTCAAAAATTTAAATTAAGCAAATTTTAATGCAAATCGATTTGGGGATAAAATACAAGCTCAAAGAGGTATGCCAATTGTTATTTGGTCAATTATTTCCTGAGCTATGACGAAAAGTCAAAATATATTTGGTCCAAAAATATAAAAAACGTCCTTTGGCAAAAACTCAATATCTAAGAATGGTTTTTTCTTCACAACTCAGCTAAAAATGGTCATAAATATAAAAGAATAACAGTTTTTTGCATCTTATTACCAATGCCAACGATCCCTATAACTTTTTGGTGAATACAAAAAAAATTATTTTTCCATCATTTTTCGCATTTTTTTTAAGGGGTACCATCATCAAATTTTGCCGAAAATGTCAAAAATTTAAATTAAGCAAATTTTAATGCAAATCGATTTGGGGATAAAATACAAGCTCAAAGAGGTATGCCAATTGTTATTTGGTCAATTATTTCCTGAGCTATGACGAAAAGTCAAAATATATTTGGTCCAAAAATAAGAAAAACGTCCTTTGGCAAAAACTCAATATCTAAGAATGGTTTTTTCTTCACAACTCAGCTAAAAATGGTCATAAATATAAAAGAATAACAGTTTTTTGCATCTTATTACCAATGCCAACGATCCCTATCACTTTTTGGTGAATACAAAAAAAATTATTTTTCCATCATTTTTCGCATTTTTTTTAAGGGGTACCATCATCAAATTTTGCCGAAAATGTCAAAAATTTAAATTAAGCAAATTTTAATGCAAATCGATTTGGGGATAAAATACAAGCTCAAAGAGGTATGCCAATTGTTATTTGGTCAATTATTTCCTGAGCTATGACGAAAAGTCAAAATATATTTGGTCCAAAAATAAGAAAAACGTCCTTTGGCAAAAACTCAATATCTAAGAATGGTTTTTTCTTCACAACTCAGCTAAAAATGGTCATAAATATAAAAGAATAACAGTTTTTTGCATCTTATTACCAATGCCAACGATCCCTATCACTTTTTGGTGAATACAAAAAAATTTATTTTTCCATCATTTTTCGCATTTTTTTTAAGGGGTACCATCATCAAATTTTGCCGAAAATGTCAAAAATTTAAATTAAGCAAATTTTAATGCAAATCGATTTGGGGATAAAATACAAGCTCAAAGAGGAATGCCAATTGTTATTTGGTCAATTATTTCCTGAGCTATGACGAAAAGTCAAAATATATTTGGTCCAAAAATAAGAAAAACGTCCTTTGGCAAAAACTCAATATCTAAGAATGGTTTTTTCTTTACAACTCAGCTAAAAATGGTCATAAATATAAAAGAACAACAGTTTTTTGCATCTTATTACCAATGCCAACGATCCCTATCACTTTTTGGTGAATACAAAAAAATTTATTTTTCCATCAGTTTTCGCATTTTTTTTACCATCATCAAATTTTGCCGAAAATGTCAAAAATTTAAATTAGGCAAATTTTAATGCAAATCGATTTGCGGATAAAATACAAGCTCAAAGAGGTATGCCAATTTTTATTTGGTCAATTATTTCAAATGCTATGATTAAAAATTTGATTACTTTTGGACCGAAATGTCTTATCGCAAGCAATTATTTAATTTGGTGAATTTAAAAATACCCAAAACTAACAAAGGTCTACATTGTTTTCAGAAACAATGAACTTTTATGACGAAACAATATAATTGTAAATAACCATTCAGGTGTGAATGAAAAAAGGTAGCAAACCGGATGATCATGATTAAGCAATTAATAAATTCAATGGCCGCTGTCAAGGGCCGGACTCACATTCAATAGCCCCTGCGAAACGGTCATCATGGTCTCGGCCACACTTTGCCGAGCTCTTGACTCTCGCCCTTCAGCCGGGAATTACTCAACATAAAGTTAAAGTGCCATAAAAATGCCAGGGAGCATAATGCCGCACTCACACAGTGGCTGAAAAACACTCACATGCTCCCATTTACACACATGAACAGGCACTGGGTCCTTTTCAGGCCCTTTGCTCAAAATAAAGGATAAGGCTGGGGCGGAAATTTCAGAACGATTTTTCCTCACATTTCTTATTTTGTGGTGCCTCAAGAATAAAGAATACTTTTTCGCCGGCCATGGGCACTTTGCAGCAGCGGAAAAAAAGCGTAATTCTGAAGCTTTTCTCTCTGACTCTTAAGCAAACTTGTATTTTTGTATTCAGAAGATGATCTGTACTTATTTAAATAATACCCATAGGATTTCATTCTATGCCGGTGTATGTTTTGCATGCCCAGCAGCTGCATTTCGTTATTTTTAAGCGAATTGCAGGGATATAAAGAATAAATATGCTAGTTAAACAACGACTTTTTTTATTACACCGATTTAATAGAGATTGTTTCTTTTTCTAATATTTAATCAATATCCGATTGCTTTGAAACAAAGAACAGACCGAAACTATTTAATCAGTTTTATTTTTTTCACCCAATTTATGTATTTTCTTCAATTGAACTAAAATAAATCAAGACCAGCTACAAATGGATTGGATAAAGATTAAATATATAATTGAGAACTGCTGACACAAAATAAATAATCAACCTGCTGACAATATTTCAATATCTAACTAATGTGATTTAAATAATGAAATAATGTAGGTGAAACTAATTTAATGCTAATGGATTGAACAGCACAGTCGGACTATTAATTTTATTGCAAATAAATATATATCTATTACATTTATGTTTATATCACATTTACGGTACAAGCAGTACTACCACTTGGAAATAATCCTCTTTGGCTATGGCCAAATATAGAAAACACTTTTCATTACATTTGTATCCGCCCTCGGGGCAGCCGCAAACGTTCGCAATCATAATCCAGGAACGACACATTGGGGCGCATTTAAACTGATTTCATATTGGATCAGCGAGTGTTTTCGTTCGCCTGCTGCCTGTGTGTGTGTTGTGCGTTGTGTGTGGGTGAGTATCTGTGTGCATGCCACCAATACCACAGCAATTCGGGAGGAAATTCGTTTGCCGTATGTCTTGGCACGCACGCAGGAAAATTCAAGCCGTCGACGATTTCGGTTGGGCGATATTATAATGAATTTGTCGTGCATATTCGTACATATTCCCCAATGCGTGACACAAAAAAAAAATAACAACCAGACACAATGTGACACGCCCACTCCATTTGAGGGCGATCTGGCTTAGTTCCGAGGAGATAAGCAGCTAAGTGACTTTGTCCCGACATCATGGCCCATGGGGTGTTGACGGTATGGTTTCAGTTTCGGTTTCGGTTTTGATATTCGAAATCGTGCGCATGAAATAAATACGAATACGAATTCTCGATGGTGTTGCGGATGATGTTGTTGGTAGATATAAATTGAATTAAAGTGAAATCGGTCGCCGCTGGCCGTAATAGATTAATGAAAATGTATCCAGGCGTCAGAATAAAGTATGAGGCATCCAAATTGAGTTATCAGCATAAATCAAAGGCGTTATTTGCAAGCACATTATGATTACGCTCGGGTCCTCTGACCCGACTTGTGTATTAATGCGGATTGAGCCCTCTAATGGGTAAGTAAATGCAGCAGCAGCCTTTGCAGCTCCAAAGTTTAGAACAAATTCTTTTTTAATTAAATTCAAGTGACGACCGTTCCTGCATGTCAAACGCGGGGAGAGCGGAAACTTCCGCCTTTGAGCGAGTCATTTTCAAAGAAATTCGCAAGTTATTCATGGCAACTTTAGGGCCGGGGCAAAAACTTGAGTTGAGTGATATGTTACCAAAGAGTTGACGCTGGGCCAGGCCAAAAGAAAATAATCCTCTCTGGTTTCCGGCCAAGGTCAATGGGGTTTTCTGCAATCCACAGCTTTAATCGAGATGAGTTTTTGGCACAGGACTAGAACCTGAAAAAAAGGAGCAATCAATGGCAGTTGATTACCATTTGTGGAGTTCGGGCAACTCGCTTGCCGATGAATCAAGTTAATGAACTAAGTGAATTGGAAAAGTTTTCAACTTTTCCCGTTCGCCTTAAGGACACGAGTATTTGACGTTATCCTTGACGCTTTGACTTGACGTGGGCTTAAAACTCAATGCACATAACTTTAAATGTATTTAACTTGAATTGCAAAATAATATTTATCTTAACGTTTTATCCTTGACTTCATTTCAAGGTTTGCTAAAAGTCTAAAGTGCTCTTTCTGTTAAGTTTATCATAATGTAGTAATTAGCTCATCGTACTTGTTTAATTAAAACTTTAAACTTGTCGAGCATGTCATGCTTATATTCAGATACAAATCGGACGGCTTTTTTACCAACCTCTGTTAAGCCCACAGGTACCATTAGGAAAAATTGAGTATCCGTCATAAAAAGCCGCTTAGGCCAACATGTTTCAGCGCTTTTCATAAGTTTGTCACGTTCAATTTCCGCTGCGACACCTTCGATAGCTTCGATGTGGAGTATTTAGTTTAATGTTTTGCCATAAATTTAATGCATACACAAATGGCACTTTAAGTCGAAATCCAACGCAATGGCGGTCAATTCCAGGCAATTTTGAAATGGCGCTTAAATCCGCTTTTACGACCCCGATGGCAAAGAGAACTTAAGACCAAGCTGCGGGCTAAAGATCATCCCTCTTGGCCGTAAAGGAATCTTTGGCCAATTTAAAAAGGACAAAAAGGCTAATACTAGCGTGAATGAAATTGTGTTACATACGAATCTAATGGCGACCAAATGGGATTTGTAAATTTATTAAATCTAATTGCACTGCAATGTGCAATTGTGGCAAATTGTCATCTGTCACGGAAATTTAAGTGTTTGCGCACAAAATCAGGGACATTCTCCAGCGTGTGCGGCTCCTTGGCAGTAACCCCATTACCACTAAGTGCCATTGCAGAGGGCCAGGAAAAATTACCTTGCTGCGGGGGGCGGAGGGTACAGGTGCGCACTGTGGCATGTTTACGCTTAGATTCGGAGGCTTATTTCGATTTGTTCTCTGGGTGCAATCAATCGTACGAAGCCATCGAGCGAGCTTATGAAAACAAACAATGCTGTTTTAAACAAACTAATCACAACATCCGCCTATAAAAGCTCCAAATAAAGTGTTCTGTGTTTTTAACTCAAATGGAAATCTGCAAAGTTTTATCAAAATTAAACTGAGATTCAGTCAACTTGCTAGCTATATACTTATAGATATGCTTTGCTCCTTAAAGTACTCGCTTATCTGGTTGCGATTATACTTAATTTATAAATTGTTCGCTGTAACTGTTGAAATACGATTTTGTGAATGTGTTTCTAGAAGAAAGTAACTTTCCAGCACTTTAGACATAAATAAAAGCGGGCTTAGAAAGCGGGTAATGGCTTCTGCCTGCAGTTAATCCTTCACCTATTTTTGGCCCACTTTGAGCCTATGGAGCCCATGGTGCTCCGCGGCTAGTGTTTGCATTTGCATTTCATTAAAACACAGGCAGGTAAACAAGTTGCCGCCCATGGCACTCACTCACTCACTCAGCTCGGCTGAACCTCAACCTCAGCGTGAACCTCTGCGCGAATACGCCGTACCCGCGACTACGGCGGATGGGGATGATGATGACGATGACTATGACGATGACTATGACGATGATGATGATGGTGAGGACGAGCACTACGGGAACTGAGGAAGCAGTGAGCTGTTGTTTCAGCTTTCAGCTGCTGGCATTGAGGGCCAAATGACAGTGGCACCTCCGAGCGAACGCCTCAAAGAGCAAACGGTGGGCGTGGCAGGGGAGTGCACTGCAATTGCAGACGAGTGGATTTCAAGGCGGCCACTGATTGCACGCGGAACGTGACACGCCCACGGGCATTACAATAAGTATACGCCCGGTGTGTTTCAATTAGTTTGCGCTGCGGCCGAATAAACACGTTAAAAGTGCGTGCAAACAATTGGGGAGGGCATGGAAATGCCCGAAGATAATGACGCCATGTCCGTGGGCAAACAATAAAAGCGTCGCCCAAATTAGGCGGCCATATCAGACGGACCTGACCACATTATTTGGCCGGGCAAACAAGCAACCTGTCACTTGTCACTGGCGACCCCCGGGTTTTATTTTTATTTTTGTATTACAACTTTCCCCCGGGAAGGGACAACGGAAAGCCCGGGCATCTGGTCCGATAATTTTCTTTGTTTTCCGGCAAATGTTTTCATTTTTTATCCGCTATTCTTCCGCCTATTTTATCACGTTCGGCGTCTCTTTTGTTTTTCCTGTCCCCTGTTTACTTTTCACGCACGTTCACGGGCTTCTCAGAAACGCAGACAGGTAGCAATATGCAAATCAAACAGAGGGCAAATGGCGTTGACAAACGTCGCAGGAAATGTTTAAGGGAGCGGGACGGGGAAAATGGGGAATGGAAAATCCATCGGCACAGAGTTCACGTGCATCCCAAGTGCCCCCGGGAAATTCGAGCGGCAAAAGAAGGTAAGAACTTCCCTAATGCAATCCGCCCCGAATTTCGAATCTCGAACTACGTGGCGGCTCGATTTGCCACTGGTGAAATTTAAATACGTCACTCGGCTGATCCGATTTGAACTTATTTCATTTGCATTTATTTATTCGAATTTCTCCGGTGCTGTGGACCATTTTTATTCTACTTCGTATTGATATTTCATTTGATCTAATTGATTGGGCTAAGTGATATAAGGGCTTTTGTGTCTGGATATTTAAGTGTTCCAATTTCATTTATGCTGAGGCTGTATTTTCTTAAATACAAGCAATTCAAATCCTTAATCTTAGTTGAAAACATAAATTTTTGTAATTAGGTTGTGTTTCCTACACATTTCACTTAACAGAAAATTACCACATTATTTCATAAATGTTGAAATGGGATGTGCTTTTAGTTCGTGGCCTTACTGCACCCACAATTTACTAGAAACTCTATTGAATTTTTTAACCTTTTTGCCAGCTATTTATGCTTACATCGAAGTTCCTTTCCAGTTGAGTGTCGGCTATTCACATACTGATCGAGCAATGCCGATTGCCCAGTTCAATTATTGACACATTATCTGCTACTGACCGCAGTACTGACCGCCGACCATATTGACTCGGTACTCAATGCAGGCAGTGGCAGTGGAACAGACCGTATCGCGTATACGCCATGTGGCTCGAATCGAAAACCAAACGCAGCTCGCAACTTGACATGCGCACGTCTTTTAGGCCGCGTGCTCTCGCCTCGACGTCTGTTGTGGGACTAAAAGCCAGAATACTTGCCAGAAGCTGCGACTGTTGGCCAACTGAAAGCGTTAACATACACTCGACAGCAACAGCTGCTCTGTTAACTGGTTTGAGCGCTCTTCTGGCCATTCATTCATAATTGTTTTGAGTGAAATTGTGTGTTGGCCTGATGTTTATTTCCACTTTCGGGAATACACAGCGAAATGCTGTGCATCCTTAGATAAAGATATGGCATTTATAAAATGTGCTTTATATTTTATAAACGTATCGATTCATAAATATTTTCCACATGAAAAGGAGCAATCGAATTGGCCGAAATTCGGATAAATTGTGATCATAAAACCCTTGGCTTATGAACTGGAAAAGCTATGCAAAACTGGCTATGGTTATGTGACGGATATTGTTATGTTTTTCTCTCGCTGTGCCAGATTGTTTTGTTGGCAGAACGGAAAATCAATTTGGCTAAGCCGAATGCGACGCTGGGGAGCAACTGAGTTAGCGTCATTCCCGCCACGTGCCTCGCAAATGTTAATGAGCCTGCGTGCCACTTCCACAGCCTTTATTTTTATTATGGCCCACTACGATTTCTATGAATACATGGCCTTACGCACTTATGTATGCAAAAAAAAAGGGAAATGTTGACCTTTCCCGCGCTGTCAATGCTACTGGCCAGAAAAGCAAAACAAACAAATGCGCGTGAAATGTCAAAATCACTGTCTGCCAGGAGAACAAAAAACACAAACAGTAAAAAATGGAGAAAAGGGAAAAGCAGTGGAAAATGGTAAAAGGAAGTGGAAACTGCGGAAGAAAGATGACGACGCATAAGCGAAAAACAAGCAAAATGCTGGGGGCGAGGCAATCAAGAAAAATTTCTCCAGCAAATGGCATGGCAAATACGAGCAGCAGCAACAACCGCAGCAAATTCAAGTGGTTGCAAGTGGTGCGGGGATTGTGGGGCACGGCACGAGTTGATGATGAGGTGGTGGCCCATAAACACACACATGCTACCCACCAGCGGTCTTAACAAGGCTCAAGTGAATTATAAAAAATAAATGCTTCAAGGAGTCCGACTCTGTGATACCCGATATGTGGCGGCTATCACTGTAAATTCAAAGAGTTTTTAAAGCCAAACCTAAGACTTAAATTGTGTCTTTTTTCTATTTCATTTTTGAAAGTTATGAAATATTTATTTCTTTCGCAGGCATGAAGTTTACTTGATGTGCACTATTTAAACTTTTAAAGGTAAAGTTTTGGCCGAAAGTATCTAAAACATAACCAGGTAAGCAGGTTTGAACTAAGTCAAAGTAAAGCTAAACTAGACAGACGAAAAAACCACAAATAAAGGTTAAGCCAACGAAACGGTGTAGATGCACTTTAAAAGTGAATAAAATAAGTTATTGATAGTAAACTCGAAGAGTTCTTTAACTGAACGCCAGTCAAGTAGTGGCTGAATTTCTTAAACTGCAGCTCCCGCAGTTTTCGGCCAAGAACAAAATGTTTTACATGCTTTTTATCCAGTGCCATTATATTTTTTCGAACAGCAATTGCTGAGGGGCAAGTAAACCGCTGGTAGCCTGCGTGCGGTTTTGTTTGGCTCCCGTTTTATCGTGTGGCCATGAGTTTTGTGTGAGCAGAGCATAGGGCCAGGAAGCTAGATACCAAATGCTTCGGGCTTGGAGCAACAAACTCGGAATTAGCGGCAAGTATTACACCTCCCGCTGTGCCACATGTGGCAAGAGAAATGGCTGCGACGTATAGCTGCAACTTTTTGTAGCCACAATATGTCAATTTGTCAACATACCCGCCACGCAGCCAACGAAATGTGAAATCCTTCTGGCGGAAAAATAATGCACAACCTTTGCGGTCTCTGTCATTAAGCACAAGTTTTTAATTAGTTAAAGTTTATCGTGAAATTTACATGCACAAAACTTTCGCCGAGGCAACGCTGCGTATGCTTAACATGTTCCTTATATAGCAACAGAATTGCATTTGTGTGCCGAAATCAATGGCGTTTCCACTTAACGAAGAAAAGCACAGACAGCAAAGCTTACTCGCCTGAAATACCAGTGATTTAAAACAAAGCATTAGCAGAAGGCTTAAAGGCTGTCACAAGCAAATTATTTTCGCCACTGGAGTGCATCATTAAAAGTGGATCAATTCACACAAGAGCGCATAACAATGCAGCCAACGAAATCTTTCTGTTTCGGGCAAAGTCCAAGTCAGCCTTGGATTTTGGCCATAAGTCCCAATTAATTGCCTGCAATTCGGTTACTTAAGGCCATCCGGTTCCTGAGGAGCTTTGCATTTATATGGGGCAGATATTTGTCCTTATGTGCTAACTCACAAGTATATAGTACTGCTGGATTTGAAAATGTAAATGCGATGCAGGCGACAAAAGTACGCTCCACTGCGCTCCCTCTTGATTTTAGTTTCGGGGGTTCTATTTTATTTCATTTTATTTGGTTTTTTCTCGCTTCAGAACACTAATGAGCATTTAAGCTTGCGGCTTGCCCTGAATTTAGTTTTTTATTTTTCTACTACAGCTACTGCTGTTGCATTTGCATAAATTTAATTTCCAAAATGGCACGGAGTTGGGAATAAAGTTGTTCTTTTAATTTAATTGATTTGCATTTTAAATGATTTTCAACAAGTTGAACAAAGAGCGCAATAATTTTTGGTGCAGTATGGGTTTTCACATGCTTTCTATTGGCCAGCCAATTTCATTTCGGACTAAACAAATTCCACAGTGTTTCCCTTTTGATTTTCAGATTAGTTTTTCATTGATTTATGGACCGTGTTTTATTAAACTAGATGTGCTCACTTTAATAGCACCAAATGTTTGGGCTCCCTTCGCTTCGCCAAATTTTCGCTTTTGTTTTTTTCTCCCACTCGTCTGTTTGTTTGTATCTCATTCTGGGCCATTTAATGCGTATACGCAATGTCTGCTGGAATTTCTTGGTGGCCGCAAACGGAAGCGCTAAACCAAACATAAAAACAAACAGCACTCCTAATCGTGTGTATAAATGTTTATGCTTGTGTGTTGGCATAGTTTTATGTCTCAATTGAAGCGCTGGCCGGCCAAATAAAAATAATCAGCAAGTCAATATCCCGATGGGCAGCGGAAGAAACCCCTAAATCTTTGTCTATTTCCGTACACTTCATTATCGAGATAGTCTTACTCTCACATTTCCACAATTTTCCCCACAATTTTGTGGCGATGATGAAGTGGCTCGGTTGGCGGAATTAATCCCATGAATGATCCATGATTGCCAAGTAATGGAAAAGCGCTTAGTTAATTGGGGGGCATCGCACATGGTAGCCATTTTGGTAGAAATTGAAGGCGACACGTGCTGAAATCGAATTATACATAATTTACTCGATTATTTCTGTCTATCAATTAATTACCAACCTGCTGGAGTGTCAAATGCGTTTAAATTTATTGAATGCCATTGCTGCATTTTTCAGCCGTTTGCATCTAAATATTTATGCGGTTATTTATGTTCTATTACTCTGTTCCTGTTTTATTGATCCACATGAAAGCGTAATATATCAATGCTATCAAAGATAAACATTCATTGCAGCTTTGAGAGCCACTTTATGAAGTTTATGGGATTGGAAATTGTATTCATAAATACGAATTATCTATGTTCAGAAACAAAACGTCATACTTAAATGGTTAAGGTACGCAGCAAAGGTTAATATGTATATATTAATATATTTGATGATAATGTTATGACCTGATACTATCAATTATTATAAAGATTTAGCTTTTAGGTATTGCATACGTTTCCTTTCAACGGTGTTGCCACGTAGCTAGACTTTTGCATTTCCTCACTTCATTTTGATATTTAAATGGCAGGATAATAGCGTTTTCACACAGGACCTCAAAGGGAAAAGCTATAAATAAAATAACATGGATGTTTGGCATTTTGCTTTTATAAAAGCTGTTGCTTAAGCCTGTACATACAAATACTGAAATTTTATTAATTGAAAGCAAGTGTGATTTCCAATTCCACTGTTCCACTTTAAGGGCTTATGTTGGAAGTGCAGAATTCCACCATCCGGCAACGCCCTATTAAATGCGTGGCTTTCCTTCATTTTTTTCCTATTAGTTCGAACGACTTGATATTGCGATTTTTTTTGAGAGCCCATTACTTGAATATTTTACTCAACAATGATGTCCAAAGCACTGCAGCGTTCAGTTTCCATTGGCAGTAAAAGTAGGTCAGTGATTTTCATCTTACACAATTACCATAACCAAAGCTTCCCACAGAGGCATCAGACCCTATAGATCAGTTCTTGGAACATCATCGTCTCTTCCGGAAGCATATAATAATGGACACCTCAAGTTTGTTTCGCGTGTTCGCCGAGCAGGTGTACGACACCCAGATGCTTCACTACGAAGTGAGGATGGAGTGCGTGCGCTTTATGTTCGGGCGATCGAGGAGTTTCCGGCGATTTGTGAGTGAAAACTTCGAAGAGTACCTGTGGCGGCTGGGCAAGACCAAGACGGCAGGCACCATGCTGGAACTGAGTGCCCTGTGCCACCTGTACCGTCGGAATGTCATTATCTACGAACCATTCGATCTGGGCCGACAGATCACCTACAGCACGGACTACCAGGAGAACATACGCATCTTTGTTAACCTACAGGGGCACTTCGACTCCGTGCTGACCATGCAGGACGTCGATATAGCCGCCGTTTGCCAGGCCGTGGCCTTCAAGATGCTATACAAGCACGTGTTCCGCCTGCCGGATGTTAGTCTTGCTGTGGAATGGATGCTGTATCCAGAGACCTTCAAACGGGGCATTGACTTTGAGTACGACCCGCGCGGCAATGTCATCCGTTTGCTGTGCCGCAACGGACGGAGTTTCAAGCTGGATCGCCCCGGAAGCACCATTTGCTTGCTTGATAACTACAAATTGTGCCCGTTTCATAATCGCAGGCTAGAGCTGGACATGCAGTCTCCAGACATGTCCTGCATGCTGGGCCTTCTGCAGCATAAAAGGCAGCCCTTCTGCTACGTGGCAGCCAAGTCAATGGATCCCTATATGTTTCGCAACGTTGAGCTTACTAGCCTGGTCGAAGCCCGTCGCGAAGCGAGGCAATGGGATATCTACACAGGCGACTACAATTTCAAGGTTGGAGCCAAGTGCCAGGTGGAGTTGGATACCAATAGACGCGATCTGCTCAGCATTTGTTACATCCAATCGATCGATAGGAATAGATCCGCTTGTCAAGTGTTTATCGAGGAGCAGGGAAAACTTGTAAGCGTGCCCTACGATAACCTACATCCTCTGCCGCCAGATGAATTCAAGGCCTGGGATCTTGCGCGTAAGCGGCGACCCAAGCTGCCTCGACATCTCCATATGATCCGAATGAAGAGGCAGTTTCTTCAGATACGAAACACATTCAGACCACAGCCACGTGGTTCAAGTCCACGTCAACACTCCGAAGCGAGGGAACAATGTTTTGAAACTAGATTTGAAAATGTTTCCAGTGGACCGTCGTCACCAAACCAGTCGTTACAAGATAATCCACCAGAATTCGTTCCTCCCCCAAACAATCAGATCCCCACGGCAGCACCAATGGCTATTCCTCGTCCGGTTTTCCTATCACCACCGCTCCCTCTTTTCGGGTCACCTAGATGGATGCAACCTATCCGGCCGGTTATGCCGAATCATCTGATGATTCGTCCACCGGGACCACTCGTTTTTGTCCAACCACCACGAGTTGGTCCGCCGCCTAACATGATGCCGATTCCATTTGTTGTACACAACTCACCATCGGTGTTTGAATCTGTTTAGGCCCCTCATCCGCCTGCCACATAGCTTCATAAACTTTTATAAATTTTTCCATTTTTTTTCAAATATGTGTGTCAATTTAACAAGACAATCTCTCAATAAAAAATGTTTACACCTACAGAAATATTAATTCACGTATCATTTGCAGATCTTTGAATATTTATTCAGTTTTCCTGAAGATAAAGTTTACAATTGGTATTTAATTCTAGCCTAATAACATTTACCTTTTAAGTTTTGAACTTTCAACGTAACTTAGTTTACTATATGGAAAGAAATTTGTAATGTGTTTGCCAACTAATGAAGTTCGTCTCCGGATGTGGCCTCCACTGCCGATCGCACCTCTCCGGACAATCGACTCTGCAGATTCTTGTTGATATTGTCTACCATGTCGAAGGCATCTATGATCAACTGCGCCTCGCCCTGCGCCTTTTCGGTCATCTGTTCCAGACTTCTTCGCAGCTCCCTGTGTTCACCAGTGGAGTCCCGCTGTTCCGCCTTCTGGTACAAACTGGTTCGCGAGAAGAGGGCTGTGGATGTCATGTGATCCGGATGCTTTTCCAAATCTTCAGGCAGTGGAAAGTCAATATCGAAAGGGAATCTTTGTAACTCCTCGTACTTCGCTTCCTGGGCCTCTTTGTCCTGGCCATAGCTGATGACTACCGCCTGGAGGACGACGTCGCTACCAGGAAGTTGTATGTAGGCAATCACATCCTTAAATAGATTCTCGTTCCGCCACACTGTTTGCCTGTATTGCACCACCTGGTAGACCACCATCTCCGGTTCGGGACTGTATTGCACCAGCATCCAAGTGTCGTCATTCATGGCCTCCGGTTCAGTTTCCACATTATCATCGAAGGCGAGATCAAAGCTTCGCGCTTTCAGGTGCAGTAGGATCTTTTCCATATAATCACGGCTTTCGTAGGCGTATAAAACATGGGCGATGCAACCGGGAGCCAGGCTCACCAGAGGATTACCCTTCAGCTCGGGCTTGGTGCTCAGCCACATCACATTGTTTGGAGAGACTAGTTTCTGGATTAGGCGCTCGCCAGCCTTTTCGTTTTCGGTGTACTGAACCAACAGTTGTTGGGATATGGCATCTTCCCTCTCCTCCTTGCTCATGGAAAGCAATGCTGCGTCCACCAGGCGCCTTTCATCCGCGGCCAGTATAAGTTTCGCCTCCAGCACCATTCCATTGACCCGGAATTCTACGAAACGAGTCATGTACTTGTCCGATACATCGGACTCTAATAGTTCCATCGAATGGAGAACGCAGAGACGGCGCCGACCATTTGGTTTCCCGTCCTTCATCAAGCCGTCATCCACTTCGGCCAGGAACCAGGATAACCTAGTCGCTGCCAACGGTCCATTGGCGCTCACAACGGCTCCGCTGTTCGCGGAGTCATCCAATCCACTGTCGTTGCTGATGTTGCTCATGATGGCGGATGTGTTTTTTTTTAATAGGCAAAAGTTCTTTAAAACTAATATATATTAAGAAAAACAATGAATCCTTTCGAACCGTCTTGTTTGAATGTCTTAATTGGTGAAGCCTTCTTCGCCAACTGATGAACTCTTCCTCGCTGCCAGTTATTTTATAGTTGTTAAAGGGTATAGTTCAATGGTTCTACCTGCCATTAACTCCATAATTTTATATAGGCTTTTAAAATGACCAACATCTGCCAGCGGGAAGGGATTAAACTGGGATTGTTCTAATTGTGTATTACCTGCAAAGGTTGCTGATTGAGCGGATTTTCCCAATACGCAGCTGCTAAGTGGCAATAAATGCGAATTGCATTTAAAATGTATTTTCATACAAAATTCGATAAAAATGCGTATACAAATTTTGTCTCAAAGCCCTACGGGAAATGTAAAGAGAAAGAAATGGTCACTGTTTTCACAAGCTAAAATGAATATTAGTTATCAAGAATGTATGATGCATCCTCATCTTCTTGAACTTCATTATCGTGCCCAGAAATGATGCGTAGGAATAAGCTGGATGTCTTGATCACATCACTCGAGTCCTTTGTAGAAAAAATGTTATTACTGACATCACTTGGCGTGTAAGCCAAGCTACCAGTGACTGCTCCTAGGCGAGTTAGTCCTCGATTTGTGCCATGAGGAAGCACACTAGAGCAATCGAATGATGACTTCTTGGCCAATTTCAGGGCGTTGGTCAGGGAGAAGAAGCGGCACGCTTGACCAGCCGGGAGACCCAGCACACGAGTGCAAAATTCTACGACTCTTTCCTTGTCGACACTTCCATCTGGTACAATCTCACCGCCGTGCTCCCGTGGACAAAGGGCGTCCAGACTGGTGCCCAGTGAACAGACCCTGGGGTAGTGCTCCCTGGTCCTGTCCAGCTCACAGAACGTGTGAATGTCCTCGAATAATCCAAGGGCGATCGCTTGGTTGATGGACCTTCCATTCCCCAGAATACAGCCCAGATGGTTTCCGGTAGCCATCTCACACACCTTGATGTGGTAGACATTTTCCTCCTGACGCAGTATGGTGAGTACCACGTCATCGAAGGCCCTCGGTCCAATCAGCCGAAATAGGTCGTCTAACAAGGAGTCCAGAATGGGCAGACTGCCATCGCCACAAAATTGGCATCCACGTGGCGACTGATCCTTTCTCTGGGCGTTCCTTAAAATTTCACTTAGTGTAGATTTTCTTTCTAGTTGACAGGATCCCCTATGCCCGTTAAAATCCAAGTCCATATCCGACATCTTAAGGTCCGATTGCATTGCAGTGGATTTAACATTGCGATGAGCTTTCGAGCAATTGCAGCTGGCGCCCAAAATAGTTTCCTTCTCTGAGATGGTAACTTTTTTGGACCTGTCCTCCTCCAGGCTGTTGGATCTCGTAAACATTTTTATTAATTCCGCCAGTAAACGATCGAATGAGAAGGTTTCAGATTCTGTCTTCTGCGCCTGGTTATTTTCACACGACTTGGATTTTGTGAAAAGACTAATAAGCTGCTCAATCAAGGATTTGTATACTTCATTCTCTACAGTTTGATTTGATTGACTGGAAATCTTTGCTTCCAAGCAAGATGTGGAAGAAACTTTTCTTACACTTATGGAATCTGCTTTGGGTTTATTAACTAATTCAACAAAATCATCAAGTAGGTTTTCTACCCTTTGTTCCATAAGATTTTGTTTCGTAGGATCTGCACAGCAAGCGGATGTTGGTATTTCGATGTGGTTTGTTTTTGGAACATTTTTGGACTTGTCGCCAATTGTTTCTTCACTTTTAGTTTTAGCAAAAGCCCGATCAAATTGTTGCAGAAAGTTTTCTGTATCTTTTAAGCACTGTGTAGCAGTTGAGATTTGATTATCATTCTGATATATTTCATTTCCGTTCTCCTTGCAACACTTATGATTATTTTTTGTAGAATTTCCATTACTTTCGCGTTGAGACTTATTTGGTTTCGGTGTTTCTTGCGCAGCTTCAGGCTTCATAAATATTTTAAGAAATTCTTCGAATTGGGATGTGCACTCGCAATGAGCTATATCTTTATTTTGTGCACCCCGATCACATGTTTCAGATTTGTTTGGCATTTCGCGTTTCTCGCAACGAACTATATCATTTTTCTGGGAAGCCTGGTCAAAAGTTTCAGGTTTTCTTGGCAATTCGCGTTCCTCCGGATGAACTTGAAATATGCTTCTGCAATCAGAGAGCTTGCATTCCTGTGCCTTCCATAATTTAACAGATCCTTGCAAATCCCTTAGAGAACGCTCCTGTCTCTTCATAATTGTTTCCAGATTCTGTACTCTATCGAGGATTTTGGAACAGGTTGAGGGACCTGAAGGCTTATCGCTCGAACTATTCGATTGTGACCCTGAAGGGTTTTCATATTGGGTCTGTTTATCTTCTTTCCGAATAGTGACTAATACTTTCTCATTTCTAGTTTGATGGACATTTGCTGTAAAATCGGTAGATACGAGAGCGCCTCCTTTTACTACGATTAGTGGGCGCTTGAAAAAGCATTTTCGCATCGAAGAATTCGATTTTGTAGCTTTTTCATCTTTATGCTTAGTTTTAGACTTTTTAGTTTCCGATGTAACTCTACAAGTGCTTGGTTCTTCATATTCCGTTTGCGTTTGTATGCTGTTTATGTTTTTAGATAATTTTGGAATCGATTGTGTCTCTGCGTCTTGCATATTAAGCATCGATTGGGTGGATGCATCACGTTCGAAATTGCAATCCTCATCGGAATCCGTTTGGAAGCCGGCTTGGGTTCCCATGTCCTTAGTGGTTTGGTTTGATTCCGAGTCGATGGCAGTCGGTTGATACTTGGAGCCAGCGGAACGACAGCTGCAAATTGCTCCGGCAGGTAGGCGGAACGTAGCCGACTCGATGGCCACCAAATCGACTGTGGAAGCATCTGCAAAATTATAAAGGGCAATAAAAGGATTAATCAGTACTTCAAAAAAACTACCTGAAGCGGTTCGCGTTGGTATATAAGGCGTTGACCTATTAGCAACAATTCAGTTTGCAAGTGGAGAACAAGCAGCATAATGGTAAGTTAAGTGGAAGCCAAGGGGAAGCATTTTAAAATAAAATATCATTTCCTCCTAGATTAACCGTCGCCAGCGTTTGGAATTTGCCCTGACACTATTGCCCTACGATCCCCAGACGATTCAGTTGTCAGAGACGCAGAAAAAGGTGGAGGAGATCATTGCCCGCCTGCGAACGGATGACTCCTTTACGGAGGAGGAGAGCGACGACTGCAAGGTGCGGCGCATTCAAGAAGCAAATGAGTTCGCCGATACCGCCATGCACCACATTGAAATGTCCGATAATGGCAAGCTGAGCAAGCTGAGCACTCTGGAAACTCTGACACTGGCTGCTGAGAAACTGCTAAGGGCACATCGATCGCCTCGGGACGGGTCTGTGCCAGATCAGGACTTCGATGACATTGTGCAGGGTATGGAGAACTCGCAGCTGATGAAGAACACCATACAGGCGGTAAATGAGTCACGTGTGAGGCTTCTACAGCGATGGGAGCGCAGTAAGCGCAAGGCTCTCGATCTCCTAACAACTGAGATCGAGAAGGTGCAGGAAATGGATCAGGAGCAAGAGCAGGCTCATGATCTGGACAAGGACCAGGAGCAGAGTTCGGAGCCCTTTGATGTGTTTCGCGATGGAACCGATGAGCACAACACCTCGACGCCGAAAACAAACGACGAAGATCTTGGTTTGGACGATGACGATGAGGACTATGTGCCCGGTGGAGAGGAGCCAATGGGAAACAAGAGGAAGCGCATCAAGAAACCGGTGACGTCCACTCCGAATGCCAAACGGCGGTGTCCTGGTTTCGAATTCGACCTGGACGGCGAGTCGCCGATGGTGATGATCGGTCCCAATGGCACCGAAGTATCCCGCGTTAGCCTGAGTGCCATCAACTGGGATATGACCGGACCATCGATCACCAGGAAGCTGCTCTGCGAGATCTTCGACCGGGACACCCTGGCCCATCATACGCTCTCCGGAAAACCATCGCCGGCATTTAGGGACTGTGCTCGTCCCAGCAAACAACAGCTGGATCCGCTCAAGGTGGCCGATCTGGTCTATCTGATGACCAACAGCCTGGACATGACTCCACGGGAGGTGCGCACCGCCATCACCACTAAATGTGCGGATGAGAACAAGATGCTCCGCTCGCGAATGCAGCGCAAATCGAAGTAGGGGAATTCCACTGGGAAATACTTTCTTTTTCGAGTCGAAGCGGTTTGGCTAATCAAAGTTACTATTTCCTAGAAGTGTATTTGAATCATCTAACAGAATGTATTGTGTAATCCGCGATAGTAGTTCCATTTACAATTGTAAGTGATTCTACAGTATAGTAAGTCCCGGCACAGCCGATAAAAGCCAGTGCACCAAATGAATAAAGAAACCCATTTTCTTACCCAAGACGTTAGTGGACTTGAAATTGATGCGGGTAAGGGAGTAATCGCTTTTGGTCTTCCTTGGCAAATCGTCGCATCTGAAATTGCAAATTTTAGAATTGGAGAAACTATTGCAGAAAGTTTCCTTTTACCTTCCTAATATCATCATCAGGCTTATATATTGATGTTTCTGCCTAAATTGCTGTGCTGCCAAGCTTGCTTCCCCGGTCTTTTTGTTCGTGGCACTCATTGGTCAGTAAATGTAACAAATAATTTGGATTGCTCAAAAGAAAAGGTTTCTGATTGTCTAAAATGTACATATGTAATTTGTTTTCACATATCGATTTTCCATGTGGCAACACTGGTAGCAAAAAGCTGTCTTACACACTGCATCGCATTTCAATAAAGGTGTGTTCACACTTTTGCCATTTTCTACTAAGCAGCAGAAAACTTCAGAATCATCGATAGTTTTCCCCGAAGCAAACTAATCGGTACATTTGACATCCCTTGTCCGATCACTTCAACATATGTACATATGTAGCTTTGTGACTTCTTAAATAAATAATATTGCTTAAAGTAACCGGAAAACAATGGAAGAGCAGAATACGCCCTACACAGTGAAGATTGAGCCAAGCGACTACGATGGTTGTGACGACGATGATGTGCAGCAGAGTCTGGAAGAGCAGAATACGCCCTACACAGTGAAGATTGAGCCAAGCGACTACGATGGTGTGCAGCAGAGTCTGCTCCAGTTGGCCACCGAACAGAATGAGAAACTGGTGCAGGAGAGGGACGCACTGCTGCAGCAGCTTCAACGGGAGGTTGCCAACAACGAGTTACTGCGTCAACAAGTTCTGGAACAAGATATATCCAAGGATGCCATCGTTAGCTGCCTCCAAGAGGAGCAAGTCAACGAATGGTACGAAGCATTCTGCAAGGTGATCACTGAGCGAGATAATATTATGGAGAGTAATAATTGTCCCATCTGCATAACACCTTGGACGGCGGAGGGACCCCACAGGATCGTTTCTCTAGAGTGCGGCCATCTGTTCGGGGCCAGCTGCATCCTCTTGCACTTGAATTCCTCGTGCAATTGCCCCATCTGCAATCATAGAGCGCAGGTTCGGGATCTGCGCTTCCTCTTTGGCGTCCACGTCCTTCAGGCAGCTCCATCTCAAAGTCTCGCGGCTGCGGAAGAGGAAGTACAGAATGGTATCTTCTAGCCTATTTATTAATTGTTCTTACAATTCAATTCAATTCCCTAATTTCAGATCAATAACAATTGCAAAACATCTGAAAAAAAGAATGAACACCTATTTTATAAACCATTTAAAGTTAAATTTCGCATTTTTATATGAAAGACCTCTAGCAGCAGACTGGATTTTGTTCTGTCTGCCTTCCAGACAAAGTGTGTTATTTATCTTTTCCATCGAGCAGTCAATACAGCATGGAAGTTCACAATATTCAAGGACCATTTTTCACACATGCACCCAAGACGTTGAAATTGATGAGTAATTCTCACAACCCGAGGCATTTGGGTTGGAAAATAAATGGAATAATCAATTTTCGGTTGTCGCTCTGGCCAAAAGCGTGTCAATGTTTTCACCATTTCTTTACGTATGTATGTAAATATTTGATTTTTTTCTTCTGATGTTCCACATTTTGATATGCAGATGCCGACTGATTTAAATATATTTATGTGCTACACCATACCATGGTTCTAAATAGAGAAGCTATGTTTTTGGACCACAAACCGCAAGGACAGTGGCTGAAGTAAACTGTTTTTCGAATTTGCGGCGGAGAAATTGTATAAAAATGTGATTCTCAAACATTTCATCGGAACGAAGGACGGGAATTGGAATAGGCGACCCAAAAGTATAATAAATAAATTCGGTAGCAATTCCTTGGAGCGTTCATCAAAGCAAAATTGATATCAATCATACGTACACAACCGCCCACACAATGGTATCTGCGTCTATGTGATGGCAAATTGAAACATTATATAAAATACTGGCCTGGCCTGGCCATCCCACAAACTACCCACTCGGCAAATTGGCCTTAAAAATAAAACACCATCAAAACGAGGCCCACGAAAGAAAAACGTAACAAATTTAAAGGAATTTCCAAGTTATTTTTAGCCGAAGCCCGTTCGTCGCGCAAAATATCTGAAAAATGAAGAAAAACACTTCGTGGATTTTTCTTTTCTTTAAAGCTGAAGAAGCAAAACAAAGGCAGCAAATGGAAACAAAGCCGCCGCGGCCAGGCGTGACATTGCTGGAAATGTATGCGGCGGAAAATGAAGTCATTACTTCAAGGTGAGTCCCAGTCGAAGAGTGCCCCTCAGCCCGAGCCAAATATCAAAATCACACTCCACAGATCCCGGAACCTTGGCTCCACCGTTTACCCTTTTCGGCAAACCCTAGTTTTTCCCGGGCTTTCCCCATTTCCCAACGTGTCAACGGCAGTCGTGCGACTCCATCTCCGTGCCACAGCCACGCATCGCATCCTTTCAATGTCCTGCTCCTCTGACGATGACTGAACCCAACCACTGTGTCGCACAATAAAAGAAGCAATAAGGAACACAAGTTACGATGCCAAAGAATGCAAGTAGAGGCCTGAATACCCTTCCTGATAGTATAAAATTAGTTTTTAGCTTTAGTAGCGTTTATTAAGTGTTTTTTCCAGTTATTTCAAGTTCATCTTATAAATTCTTATAATAGAAAAACTTAGCTGGAGGAATTTTTAATGGGTTAAGAAATTGCAGATAAGATTTAAAGGATATTGACAAGTGAAGATGTACCCCAATAGCAAAGAGTGTGGGAAAGGTCACAGAATTAACTCCCCCTGGACCACCAACTGCCTTCGATTTTACCCAACCAAGCTGACAGTGACATTTACACTTCAGCTGCTGCTTTGCTTAAATTTCTTGCAGATGATGAATGAGTATACGCAACGTTGACGCCTGTTGTGCTCGGTTAAGTCAAAGTTTTTCAGCATTTAGCTCATTAAGCATACAATAGTTATTGTCGCCATTGGCTTGTCAAAACAGTGAGAGCTAGTGATTAAGGGCAAAACTGTGACAATTACTTTGGGCTTAAGCCGGAATAGGAAACTTTAACCAGTCTAGATTCAATTTGTGCTCTCTTCTCTGAGAGCAGCTAAAGATTGCGTTTTCCTCAATTAGCCGGTTCTCTATTTTCAAGGGCGGCCGCCAAATGAAAATGTTAATAATGCAAATGCTTTGTTGAAGCCGCGTTGCTCTTGTGGCTTGTTGCATGCACCTAGTAACTGCAGTATGTGCACTGGGCAAAATTAACGCAAACTCCGAATCAGATCAAATTAAGATAACTTGCTCGCTGTTGGATCGTACATAATAGATTTCCTCTAACCAGAGATTCCCTTTTACTTCATTTTATATTGGTTTAAGGGTATGTATATACATAGATGTTGTTTGCAGTGTACCTCCGTTCCTCTGCCTTTGGCAATGTGCCATCATCGGCTTGTCGCTTTCAGTTATTTTAGCGTCGACGGTGCCTGCTCCTTTACACAACAATGCCCCCAAAAACCGACCGACAACGAGAGCCGAGTTAATTGAATTGTGTTTACTCTATGGGACCAGGACGTAGTCGCCCGTCGGTTGGACTCCGTGTTACTTTGGGACTTTCTTTTTTTGCGGTGTAGTCACGGAGGGAAGTCATTCCAGGCGACTAACATGCCAGCGAGTCAACTTTTCCATTTGAATCCATCGCTAGGTGGCAGTTGCGTTAAATATTGGGAAAAATTTTCAGGATATGGCGTTGGCTGCAATTTGGTAAGGAAAATGCCAACAAAGCATAAAATCGATTTGCAAATTTCTAAAGGCTCATTTGAAAGTTTGGGTAGTTTTGGCTCTAAACAAAAGAGATGGTGCATTAGTTAACGCGGATCATGGTAACCTTTCTTATGTAAAATAATCTAAAAGTGCTTTGCTTTTACAAAACGTATATAAAAAATATAATATATACTAGCAACCAAATGTAAGCAGGGACATCAAATTATTTTAGATTCACAACATTGCTCGGCATAAACCATGGCAAATTGTGCCAAAGTTTTGAGTAGATTTTCTGAATAATACATACGCCAATGAAAGAAGCGAACAAAGCGCAAAGTTAGCCAGGTAATCGTAAAGATAATTAGCGTAATTAGTGGGCAGGTAAGCTGTTTTCCTCCAGAATCAGATCAGCTGCCCCGACAAAAGACTAACTTATCCTCATTGGATTGGGGCAAATTCCCGGTACCGCCAAACAATGCTGGTTTCAATTACGGAATTTTATGATGTTCATGGTTGCGAATGTAACGCTTTCGTAGTTCGCTAATGCGTCAAGTAGCCGCAGGACATTTCCCCGCCAGGACAAAGTAATTTTGAGCTCGTGCGAAATGCCAAAGTTTCGCCAAGCGCGCATTGCGCCGATAAAAAGTTTCGATTATAATAGAAATTTTGTGGATGTTGGCCAACCGGGAAATGAGAAATGGTTGCTACATTTAATTTCAAAAGCCAAGGGGGATTGTTGGCAATTACTATTTAACAGCACAAAGATGCTGGTATAATACAAAAGTTTTGCTATACATATTTAATCGAAGACAAAATGCAGGCGGACAACATTGATACTAATAATAATATATTAAGATTTTATACAAAGGATAAGGTACCCTCTGTTAACTAACATCACTCATACGCCACGTGTTCGCATAACAGGCAGCTCAACAGAGCCGCGTTAACATCACTCGCAGCCCATCAGATTTTCGCCTTATCCCTAAAATGTCTTTACTGTCTTTCACTCTATGTGACAAACGAACGCTTTATATCGTCACTGCATTGTTTGGAAACAAAGTTCATTTGCTGCTTGGCTTTGTCTGCAAATGGAACGTGTTCATTAAGTTAACTACGCTTTTACTCCCGGCAAGGTACAATAAAAAATAGTTCGGAATACTTTGTGAACCTTTGATTTATGGCAATACAATTGCGTTGAGCCACCGACAAGCGAATGTCGGCAATTTGCTCGCTGCTGTAAACTAAGCTCGATGGCAATTGGAGATGGCTTTTTTCCAGGGAGCTCTATAGTTTCGCCCCCACATGGAAACCCATTAACGACAGCGCTACTCAACATAATGACAAAACTTTTACACGTGCAGCGGACAAAGTTTGGGCAATCATTTTAATTTTTACGATCTTCTGATGGCGGCACAAAAATGAAACCAAAGCATAGTCTCCTAAATAATAATATCTCTAAAATGGGTCAACCAATGGGCATTCCTTTTGTTTAAAGCAATCAAGTAAAAGTTAGTTATCTAAAATATTATTGCTTTATTAGGTATGTTAAATGTAAAACAGTTTTCAAACGACTTCCATATGAATGGTTTTTGAATACTTGATT